ACTGTCTGATCAAAATGAAAAAGTAAAGGATGTTCAAGATGTCATATTTTAGCATGAAAAAAAACCACATATACTATGACAAAAATTTCAGATTTTGGGGTGATGAAAATGTTTTGGATTTTAGGATTAAAAAACATGCCGCTGTTTTACTTTTTCTTTTCACCATTTTTATCTCTATTTTTATCTCCAGTGTTTTCTAAAGTTCACTCTTTCCTCACGTCTCGGTTTCAGGTCATGTCTCTAACAAAATATCTTTAATTCTCACACTGTGTGTGTCGTTGTGTGTGTGTCGTTGTGTGTGTGTGTGAGGGTGAGTGAGGGTGGGTGTGTGTCTGTGTGTGCGTGTGGGTTCATGGGTGTGTGTTTGGGTGGGAGAGTTGGGTTTTATTCTCATTTTTGCTGTTTTTAGCCTCTGTGAGAAACTTTGAACAGAATTTTTTTGTATGAAAAGTTCTATTTAAATAAAGTTGAAATCATCAAACAGGAGGACTGTTTAAGGCAGTGTCACACTTTTTAATTTCAGCTTCTAGAAACAGACTGTATTTTATAAACCAGAGCGTCTCACTGTATATTCTGGATTTTGTGCAACACTTAGTCCTGACAAACTGCAGCTAACTGATATGATGTTTATTTATCAGAGATAAGTCAATGTCACTTTTTGGACAACAGTTACAGAAACACTGACATTACACCAGCTAACCTGGAGAAACACCGAAAACACACTCTACTAAAACTCTGTTGACTCACTGAAAGTCGTGCTCAGCTTCTGAATCCTCATGATCTACGTGGAGAAGATTAAATAAAGACATCCTTCATCAGCATATCTTCAATTTTGACTCCTTGTTTTCCTCTCATTTGGTCTCATTCATCCTCCAAACATCCTCCGTCTGCATGTTCCTGATTACACACACTGATTATAATCTCTGCAGACACAGTTGGAGCAGGAAACACACTACTCATCTGAGTTCACCTCATTTCTCCTCAAAAACAGACTCAGAGGTCAGAGGTCAATATGAAGACTTTATTCGATCAGCAGGACTAAGAGGAGAGGAGCATCTCTGCAGGTCTGTCTTCACCTCCTGACAAAGGTTTCATACAGCAGATAGAAACCATAGACTGTATATACTAGACTGTATATACTCCATTTAGAATCTATGGTAGAAACCCGGACCAATCAGGTTTCTCTGTTCTGAGGCGTGATCGTAAACGCCGCTTCAGTTCAACCTGCAGTTTGTCAGAGAGACACGAAGGAACAGAGAGAAGAGGTCTGGAGGAACTCGGCTTCATGGAGCTGTCAGCTGATCCTGGTCCTCAGCTCATCATTCAACACACGCGCACGCACGCACGCACGCACGCACGCACGCACGCACGCACGCACGCACGCACGCACGCACGCACGCACGCACGCACGCACGCACGTGACTTCATTTGTTTCTAAAGGACACGGACTCTGGCGATGTTCTTTCAGTGAATAAACCTTTTATGATTTTAAGATGTGGGATAAAAGTCAGAGTTAAAGATGGCGTCCAGATTTTTACCTGATTTGATTTCAGGTTAAAGGGTTTTCAGTTTTGATAAAAGTTTCTCTCCCTGAGCCTTAAGATCGATAACTGAAACCTCAGTTTTTTCCTGGTTGAGCTGCAGGAAGTTTTCTGCCATCCAGGATTTCATGTCAAGTCAAGTCAAGTCAAGTCAAGTTTATTTGTATAGCACATTTCAGCAGCAGGGCAATTCAAGGTGCTTTACATGAAACAAGCAGGCAAAACATTCAACACAATTTAAAAAGTAAAAACAGCGTAAAAGACATTTAACAGATTAAAAGTTACATTCAAAGCTAAAATAAGATTGGAGATAAAAGAAAACAAAGGTTAGATTGGAGAGATAGAAAAAAAAAAAAAGATCAAGACAGGCAGATGATGAAGATGTTGATTAAAGGCCTCAGGTTTGATTTAATGATAGGCCACAGCAAACATATGCGTTTTCAGCTGTGATTTAAAAGAGCTGAGAGTTTCAGCAGACCTACAGTTTTCAGGGAGTTTGTTCCAGATATGAGGAGCATAAAAACTAAAAGCTGCTTCTCCACGTTTAGTTCTGACTCTGGGGACAGAGAGCAGACCTGCTCCTGATGATCTGAGCGGTCTGGATGGTTCGTAACGTATCAGCATATCAGAAATGTATTTTGGTCCTGATCCATTCAGTGCTTTATAAACCAGCAATAGTATCTTAAAATCAATTCTTTGACAGACGGGAAGCCAGTGTAAAGATCTGAGAACTGGAGTGATATGATCTACTTTCTTGGTCTTAGTGAGGACTCGAGCAGCAGCATTCTGAATCAGTTGGAGCTGTCTGATGGATTTTTTGGGGAGACCTGTGAAGACACTGTTACAGTAGTCAAGTCTGCTGAAGATAAATGCATGGACAAGCTTTTCCAAATCCTGCTGGGTCATCAGTCCTTTGACCCTTGATATATTCTTCAGGTGATAGTAGGCTGACTTTGTAATTGTCTTTATGTGGCTGTTGAGATTCAGGTCTGAGTCCATGACAACACCAAGGTTTCTGGCTTGGTTTGTGCTTTTTAACATTATCGATTGAAGCTGAGCGCAGACTTTTAATCGCTCGTCTTCTGCTCCAAATACAATTACTTCAGTTTTATCTTTGTTTAGTTGAAGAAAATTCTGACACATCCAATCGTTGATTTGTTCAATACACTGACTCAGTGTTTGTATTGGATTGTAGTCGCCTGGCGACATGGTTATGTAAATCTGTGTGTCGTCTGCATAATTATGGTAAGATATTTTGTTGTTTGCTATGATTTGAGTTAGAGGGAGCATGTAAATGTTGAACAGGAGTGGCCCCAGAATGGAGCCTTGGGGAACCCCACATGTCATTTTTGTTCGCTCTGATGTGTAATTACCTAGAGACACAAAGTAGTCTCTATCCTTTAAGTAGGATGCAAACCAGTTTAGTACTGTTCCAGAAAGTCCCACCCAGTTTTCCAGTCGATCGAGTAGGATGCTGTGATCAACCGTGTCGAAAGCGGCACTGAGATCTCGGATAAAGGGCATCGATTGGCCCTGTGTCATCAGGAGACATGGATATGTAGAGATGAGTATCATCAGCATAGCTGTGAAAAGTGATACCATGCCTCCTGATGACGTCTCCCAGTGGAAGCGTATATAAATCAAACAGTATGGGGCCTAAAATTGAGCCTTGGGGCACACCATATTAAATGACCCCCAGGGTTTCCTCTGAGGGAGCCCTCAGCACCAGGAGCAATGGTCGCTTGTGGTTGCAGGGGTCGGTCACGGGGTCCCTGGTGGAGGTTGGTGTCATCCCTCCGCTGGCCTCATGTCGGTGTCCTGTGGCTGCGGGCGGCTCTCTGCTGGTGCTGACGGCTCCTCTGATGGCGTCTTTATCTGGTTCATCTGTCGTCAGCCTCACGTCTATTATCTCAGTTTTTGTTTTTAACCGTAAATCACTTTGAGTTACATTCCTCGTGGGAAAAACACTTTTTAAAAAATATCAAATTTCTTCTTCAAAGGATCTTCGAACCATCAAACCGTTTTCATCATTTTTTTTAAACTGTTCCTGACGGTCTCACCTTCACGGTCTCACCTCCACGGTCTCACCTCCATGGTCTCACCTTCACGGTCTCACTTCCACGGTCTCACCTCCACGGTCCGGTTCTTCCACAGTGTTGATGTTGACCCACTTTATCCTGAATCTGTGACCGCTCATGTCCTGAGGAGGACTGTGGCCTCGTTTCCTTCACAGCCCGCTGCTTCGTCCTTGAACGGTCTCCGTCCACCTCCTCCGCCTTCCTGACGAACACAACTGGGTTAATGACGAGTCCCACACCAGGAATTCTGGGAAATCTCCTGTGTGGTCATTATTTCTGAGCGGCTGACAGGTGATGAAACGGTGAATCCCCCCTGAGCTCTGCAGACCTGTTTTATATACAGCATGTCCTCAAATTTTCACCATGAAGAAGAAAGTCCTCTGCAGGTTCGACTCTCTCCTGTAAGGTCGATGCAAAGATGGACGCCGCTGTTATTCTGTTGTTTCTCATTTTTAAGGACCGTGTGGATCAGAGAAGAAGAAAACATCCACTGTGATGTTTCAGATCCTTGTTTTTCCTCCTGATCTTCAGTGGAACAGAAAATAAATCAGAATTATTTTCATCTTCATGTTTTATCCTCAGACTCTTTCATGATAAGGAGAAGAGAGACACGATTCTGCAGACCCCTGAAAGTGTGAAGTTATGACGTCTGCATGTTACATTAACTCGTCTGTGTGACGTCTTCAGAGTTTAATATTTGTTTGACAGAGCAGAGAACCAGAACCAGAACCAGAACCAGAACCAGCAGAGGACGGAGACAGGACTCTCCTCAGGGAAGGAGATGTTTAAGGAGAAGACTAAGGTCGCAGGATGGGAGGTGTAAAAGGAAGGATTAATGTTACTTACAGAGGTTTTAATCATACATGGCCTCTGAAAATATCATGTTCATCATGAAAAAATATTAATTAAAAAAAGAAAGATTAATGTGTGTGTGTGTGTGTGTGTGTGTGTGTGTGTGTGTGTGTGTGTGTGTGTGGGTGGGGGGGGGGTTAGTTAGGATAATTATGATCATGATTGTGTCAAGAGTTTGAGTCAGAGATGGTCAATGAACCAACAAGAACAGAGGTGAAGACGGATACGAACAAACATGTAAATGAGACAGAAGAGAAACTAAAGTAGAAACACAAGAAACCAACTCCTACAAAATAAAACAGGAAACAAACAAGGAATCAACTCCTACAAAATAAAACAGGAAACAAAGAAGGAATCAACTCCTACAAAATAAAACAGGAAACAAACAAAGAACCAACTCCTAAAAAATAAAACAGGAAATAAACAAGGAATCAACTCCTACAAAATAAAACAGGAAATAAACAAGGAACCAACTCTTACAAAATAAAACAGGAAATAAACAAGGAACCAACTCTTACAAAATAAAACAGGAAATAAAGACTGAAAACTGATCTTTATAAATAAACGGAGGACAGGAGGGGAACAGAAACTGAAAACTACAAAGACTTCAGAAAATAAACTCGAATCAAACAGGAGAAGATGAAAAAAACTGATTTATTCAACAATTGACCTTCATTTATATCACAGACACGTTCATGTGAGGTGGACGGTAAAGGTTCTTCTAAAAGTTCTGGTTCTTAGAGGGTTAAATTCTGAGGTGCTGGTATTATATAAGAGTCCATTTAAAGTTCTGGTTCTCCTCATCACCTCCTCACAACATCATGAATTACACCAAAGGTCTCTTTATAAATATGGAGATTAAAAAAAAACACATCAGAGTATTTTCAGACGTCTTCAAACATTAAAAGTCCGTCTTAAATAAAGTTCTGGACGGGTCCAGACTGATCCAGCACAGACGTCTGTCTTCTGTTCCTCCGTCACGGTCGCTCCGACAGGAAACAGCGAGGAGAAATAAAACAGCTGAGAGGTAAACTGTTATGACGGGTGAAGACACGGTCTGAAAGACGAGCTCTGAGTCTGTTAACGGGTCTGTGCTGGACCAGGACCAGGACCATAACTCAGAGGGTGTCACCTCAGATCTTCTCTACAGCATGAGGGTTTCAGAAGGTCCTCCAGAGACCTGGTTCTGCTCTGTAAACATCTCTGTGATGGAGGAACAGAACCGGGTCTCTGGGGGACCTCAGAGGACTTCAGGTGATTCTGAGCCTGTCGAGACCAAGACAGCGTGAAGTAGGACCGGTTCGGGTTCAGGTCTTCCTGTGGTCCACATCTGCAGAGGTTCGTTCTGGACCAAAGAAGAAGTTCTGAAATAATGTCTCATGACCTCGTCACAGAACGCCGCCGTCACTGACCTCAATCCACCGTTTGATGTCTGTGACGTCACGGCGAGTAAAGAGGAACATCTGACTGTGATTGATCCTGAGAGAGGAGAGAGGAGAGGAGGCAAGGAGAGGAGAGAAGGAGAGAGGAGAAGGAGGAGAAGGAGAGAGGAGGGAAGAGAGGAGGAGAGAGGAGAGGAGGCAAGGAGAGGAGAGAAGGAGAGAGGAGAGGAGAGGAGGTGGGAAGAGAGGAGAGAGGAGAGAGGAGAGGAGAGAAGGTGGGAAGAGAGGAGAGAGGAGAGAGGAGAGGAGGCAAGGAGAGGAGAGAAGAAGAGAGGAGAGGAGAGGAGAGAAGGTGGGAAGAGAGGAGAGAGGAGAGGAGGCAAGGAGAGGAGAGAAGGAGAGAGGAGAGGAGAGAGGAGAGGAGGCAAGGAGAGGAGAGAAGGAGAGAGGAGAGGAGAGGAGGTGGGAAGAGAGGAGAGAGGAGAGAGGAGAGGAGAGAAGGTGGGAAGAGAGGAGAGAGGAGAGAGGAGAGGAGGCAAGGAGAGGAGAGAAGAAGAGAGGAGAGGAGAGGAGAGAAGGTGGGAAGAGAGGAGAGAGGAGAGGAGGCAAGGAGAGGAGAGAAGGAGAGAGGAGAGGAGAGAGGAGAGGAGGCAAGGAGAGGAGAGAAGAAGAGAGGAGAGGAGAGAGGAGGAGAGAGGAGGAGAGAGGAGAGGAGAGAAGGTGGGAAGAGAGGAGGAGAGAGGAGAGAAGGAGAGAGGAGAGGAGAGAAGGTGGGAAGAGAGGAGGAGAGAGGAGAGAAGGAGAGAGGAGAGGAGAGAGGAGAAGGAGGAGAAGGAGAGAGGAGGCAGGTTCCTTTCACAGGCAGAACCAGACTGATGTTAAAGAGTTAAAAACGTGAACTATCCCTTTACTGTCCGACTGTTTTAGTTTCAGACTCCTGAAATAATTCAGCTCACAGCCTTAAAGCTTCATGTCACAGTTTATAGTGTTGATGAAAAGGCTGTTCTACACACACACACACACACACACACACACACGCACAAACAGACAAACAAACACACACACACACACACACACACACACAGACAAACACACACACACACACACACACGCACAAACAGACAAACAAACACACACAAACACACACAGACAAACACACACACACACACACAGCTGGATGTTCTTCAGGATGTTTAGCACCTTTTTTTAACATCATGACACCTGAGAGCATCTGCTGCAGCCAATCAGTGTTAACACGGTTAAAAACAGACGGTTCACTCTCACCTCCACTGACACCGTTACACAAACCTGTGTGTGTGTGTGTGTGTGTGTGTGTGTGTGTGTGTGTGTGTGTGTGTGTGTGTGTGTGTGTGTGTGTGTGAGCAGGAAAGGTAGGTCTGCTGTCGTCTCTCTTTTTACATTAAAGCTGCAGAAACCTTCATCTAATCTAAGCAGGCTGATCCACTGAAGCATGACATTACTGTGTGTGTGTGTGTGTGTGTGTGTGTGTGTGTGTGTGTGTGTGTGTGTGTGTGTGTGTGCTGTCACTGCTTGTCTGTTCCTGCAGTGACATTTTGAGGTCTGGACTCCACATGGTTCTCAGGAGAGCAGATGTTCAATATTTATGAAAGTTTTCTGATTTTTACATGACGAAAAAGGTGTGTGTGTGTGTGTGTCTGTGTGTGTGTGTGTGTGTGTGTGTGTGTGTCTGTGTGTGTGTGTGTGTGTGTGTGTGTGTGTGTGTGTGTGTGTGTGTGTTTGTGTGTCTTTATTAAATCTCGTTGCTCTCCCCTCACACCTGTTGTATTGTCAGTAATGTGGGTTTTTGGCGGTTCTCCTGGTGCGCTCGCCGTTTCTTGCGTGTCTCCTCAGACCCTCACGGTAAACTCAGACGGACTCTTCTGGTTTTCAGACGGAGGTCACGTTTTGAATCATTTGCAGTGACGGCAGCTCCTGCAGGCGAGCGTTTACTGCCGTGGTCATGAACCCGTTACCCGCCGACGCTCTGAGGTTTTCTCCTACCACCACAGCTCGTCTCCTCCGCTGCTCCTCGTGCTCGCCCTTTCTCGCCTGTGCAGCCTCAGCATCTCCAGAACGCTGCGTGCGTAAGCGTCCCTCAGATTCACACCCGCCCCAATGCTGACCCCGCCCACTGAACCCCGGGCCAGCCTCTTCAGCATCTCCCCGTGCTTCGTCGCCGCCTCCTTCATCTTCAGGGTGAAGTAGCAGGCGGAGAAGCGCTCGTTGATGATGGCGATTGGGAGCGCCAGGATCAGGATGCCTGACAGGATGCAGAGGAAGGCGAGAACCTTCCCCACCACCGTATCGGGCCGGATGTCTCCGTAGCCTACCGTGGTCATGGAGGTGGTCGCCCACCACCAGGCGGCCGGCACGCTGCTGAAGGTGGAGGAGGGAAACTCGTGCTCCAGGGTGAAGACCACTGTGGCGAAGATGGAGATGCCGACGCCGAGGAAGAGAAGCAGCAGGCCGACCTCCTCGTAGCACTGAGCGATGGTCAGACCCAGAGACTTCAGACCTGCAGGACAGAGGGGGAGGAGCTTAAACTCTAACGGTGAATTCACACGAAGCAAAGTAAAATCATCGCCTCGCTTCATTCCCGGGAACGATTTAAACGTGATTTAAAAGTGATTTAAAAATGATTTAAACGTGATTTAAAAATGATTTAAAAGTGATTTAAACGTGATTTAAACGTGATTTAAAAATGATTTAAATGTGATTTTAAAGTGATTTAAACATGATTTAAACGTGATTTAAAAGTGATTTAAAAGTGATTTAAACGTGATTTAAAAGTGATTTAAAAGTGATTTAAACGTGATTTAAAAGTGATTTAAAAGTGATTTTAAAATGATTTAAACGTGATTTAAAAGTTATTTTAAAGTGATTTAAACGTGATTTAAAAGTGATTTTAAAGTGATTTTAAAGTGATTTAAAAATGATTTAAACGTGATTTTAAAGTGATTTAAACGTGATTTAAAAATGATTTAAAAATGATTTAATCGTGATTTAAAAGTGATTTAAAAGTGATTTAAAAGTGATTTAAACGTGATTTAAAAGTGATTTAAAAGTGATTTAAAAATGATTTAAACGTGATTTAAAAGTGATTTAAAAGTGATTTAAAAATGATTTAAACGTGATTTTAAAGTGATTTAAACGTGATTTAAACGTGATTTTAAAGTGATTTAAAAGTGATTTAAAAGTGATTTAAAAGTGATTTAAACGTGATTTAAAAGTTATTTAAAAATGATTTAAACGTGATTTAAAAGTTATTTAAAAGTTATTTAAAAATGATTTAAACGTGATTTAAAAGTTATTTAAAAGTGATTTAAAAATGATTTAAACGTTATTTTAAAGTGATTTAAACGTTATTTTAAAGTGATTTAAACGTTATTTAAACGTTATTTTAAAGTGATTTAAACATGATTTAAACGTTATTTTAAAGTGATTTAAACGTGATTTAATCGTGATTTAAACGTGATTTAAACGCGATTTTAAAGTGATTTAAACGTGATTTTAAAGTGATTTAAACGTGATTTAAACGTGATTTTAAAGTGATTTAAACCTGATTTAAACCTGATTTAAACGTGGCTTCCGTCCACAGGTCCGGTTCTAAGATCCGTGAATCTCTCAGGAGTTTGTGTCAACAGTCGGACTGACTCTCATCTTAGAAATGAACTTCCTCTCCATCATGAGTGACTGACAGCCTGAGATCACGTCTCATATCCGTCTCAGAGGAATCGACAAATGTAAAAATAAACCCACATGAGAGCGGCTCTGAACTGACGATCACACCTGTCGATGACTGTCATCTTCTCTCTCTCCGCAGAGACAGAGACGAGAGCGGAAGTGTTTAAAACGGAGTGAGTTTACTGATCGTTTTTACGTCTGCAGAGACTTCAGAGTCGGAGGAGGAAACAGATTTATTCCACGTGAAGACTGAAGCAGCAGAAGAAGAAGAGAGTTCGTAGTAAGTCCTGTACTCTGTTACTCTTACAGACAGCTGTGCAGAGGTTTAGTCTCTCACACGTCTGCACATCTCCTGGATCTGTTAAACATCAGAACTGAGCGCGCTCAGAGTTCACAGGTCCGACTCTGGTCCCACCGTCCAGACTCAAACAAACCGTCAAACCTTTCCTTCAGTTTATTCACCTGTCAGCAGAATAGGGTTAGATATTGATTCTAATTCTCAATATCGATTACTTTTCTGAAGGATTCTTAAAGATGGAAGTCAACAGGTCACAGTCTAAGTGACTGGCTAACGTTAGCATCACTTTGCAAGTGTTCAACAACTGTAAACAGATAAAGACAGTTTGAGGAAATGGTCGTCTATAACAGGTTTGTTAAGAAAGAGACAACCACAATTTTCACCGACTGGATTCTGTTTGGAACGAGGAGTTTCTGGCTGATGATGAAGGTCGACTGTCTGAAGTGGAGGAAGCAACGCAGTGAGTTTAGTCACACTTGCTAAGTGTTACACCGCGCAGGTGAAGGTGTTTTTAATCACGTTCGTCGTTCATCCTCCTCTGTCAAGTTAAAATGAAAAAACATTTTTGGTGGTCCATGTTTAGACGAGTGATGTTCATGCTAGCGGACGCACAGAGAACGCCGAGCAGGTAAGACACGCCTGAAAACAAACTAGTGCGCGCACTCGTAACCAAAAAAAAGATCATTTAAAATTCAAAACTCTGCTCGATGATTCTGGAACCAAACCTACACGCTCCAGAAACACTTTCCAAACGACAGTCACTTCACGACTGTTCGCACTTTCTCCTCAACGGTTTACCAAAATCCAAAAGGACTCAGAGACCACAGGAGTCCACCATCCGACCCTGAAGTCCAGGTCTCAGCAGGATGAGTTTAAACTACATTTACACAACAAATCCACAAAAATGGATTTAAGATCAAAATAATGAAAATAAATATCAGTCAGGGAAAAATGAAGAAAAGGATATTTCAAATATCTCAAAAACTTCTGATAAAACTGTGGAGACATCTAGAAGAGGAGAGTTAGGGAACCAAAGAGGAACTTTTTTATCTGGACGGGCTTTCAGGGGGAACTTCGGATATTTTATATTGAAATTAACACCAAACTTTAAAAAAAAGGATTTAGAGGAATTTCATTATTGGAGGATCATCCAGCTGACACTCTGTTAGTTAAATACACAGAAGACAATTATATAATATATATACTGTTTGATTTATTTTATATGTCATATACTGATGGGGCAGTTGGATCTGGACTCTCCCTCTCTCTCTCTCTCTCTCTCTCTCTCTCTCTCTCTCTCTCTCTCTCTCTCTCTCTCTCTCTCTCTCTCTCTCACTCTCTCTCTCTCCCTCTCTCTCTCTCTCTCTCTCCCTCTCTCTCTCTCTCTCTCTCTCTCCCTCTCTCTCTCTCTCTCTCTCTCTTTTCTTCATGTCTTCTTTCGTTAATTATGAGCTGAGGGATCATCACCCAAAAACCGTCAGATCGAAGCTCTCTGACACTCAGACACGTCTGTTCTCCGATCACGCTCCTCGTCTCGCTCCTCGCTCCGTCTCCTGGAGGAGTTTGCAGAAATATGAATGGATATATTTTTCTCCTCGTCTCTCTACGTCCTGAAAAAAACCTCGGGGCTGTAATCTCTCCACTTCGTGTGTTTCGACCTCCTGTCAGGCTGAACATGAGTGGAGATGAGCTGGATGAAGTGATCATGTGATACTGATCCTTCTCCATAAATTTTCCAGACCAGGTGAGACAGAAGACCTAAATGTTAGTTTTTACTTCACCTTCATTTTACCAGATAAGGAGCAAAATCACTCCTGGCAGAAAAAGAGGCGTAAACATTTTCACACACGGAACCAAAGGACGATAAAAAAAAGCCTCCATGGTGATTTTTTCAGCGTGTGAAACATAAAAAGTGAGTCTTAAATGACTTTCTGAAACAATTAGCATTAAAAAGTGTCATCTGGATGTTCTTGATCGAAATGGTGAAAACGTTTCCTCTTGTCACGATCTGTTCTGTTCATTTAGTTTTATTCTGGTTTTATTTGAGTGGATTTTTGTGTATTTGTTCGGTTCATTCTGTCACAGTCGCAGGGCTAAACGAAGGAAAAAGGATCCGACTGCAGAATTAAGGGGAAAGAAAAAGGCCGAGAAACACGCAGGGAAACGAGCAGCAGGTGAGACTCATGGATGATTAACGAAGGAGGGCAAAGTTCTGAACGCTCCTCTCAGACACCAAAGGGTTAAAAAAGTTTATTTTCTCCGTGACTGTGGATAAACAGTTGAACCCCCCCCACTTACCTGTGGAGTGTCGGCCCAGCTTCAGCATACGGAGCGACCTCAGCAGTCGAAGGACCTGCACCACACGGCCCATGTTCTCCAGCTCTGTGCTTCCTCCGTGGAGGTTCTCCACCGCCAGCGTCACGTAGAAGGGCAGGATGGCGAGCAGGTCGATCATGTTGGGGATACTCCGACTGAAGCGACATTTGTCCCTCACACAGAGGAACCGGAGCGCCAGCTCACCTGTGAACCACATCACGCACACGTACTCCAGAGTGTCGAACAGCAGCGGAGCAGCAACGCTCACGCCGCTTACACCAACGTCCTCCTCCAGGTCCAGAGAGATCAGCACCATGTTGATGACGGACACCACCACGAAGAAGACAGACAGCGAGCCGAAGGTGCGAGCGGCTCGGGATGATTCCGGTTTTTCCAGCAGGTTCCAGAGGCAGCGCCGGAGAGCCGGGCAGGCAGCGCCCACAAAGTCCTCTTCATCATCCTCGGCCTTGACCTCTCTCCGAACGTCCAGACCCTCTCTCTGCTCCTTCCTGCGGTAGTAACGCTCACGGCAGCAGGCCTTGATACGAAGCTCGTCGATGCCCCAGTACTGGACCTCCTGCAGGAAGGAGATCTCACACAGTTCCTCCATCACATGCAGGTGACCCGTACGGTAGAAGTTCATCACATACCTGTCAGCAGAAACAAACAGAGACGGGCGGCCTTCAGTTAGCGCTCATAAAAACCAGGAACTACAGATTCAGAGGCCCTGATTGGACAGCTCAGTTCTGGATGTTGCATTGTGTGTTTGCACTTAACAGAAAATAGCTCCACCTACTGGAAAGCCTGTGAGTTGCGGTCAAAGAAGAACTCGTTCTCCAGCAGGTCGGCATCATCACAGAGCTCCAGCGCCGAGTCTCGGCTGCAGGTTGCCAGTTTCCCCAGCCGGGTCTCCGGGTACGAGGCCAGCAGCTCCTGGGACAGGACAAAGCGACTCCCCCCGACGTTGATGATGAGGAAGTCGAGCGGTTCTGGGACGCAGGACGCCGATGCTTCGCTGAAGAAAACGCTGGAGTTTAGAGACAGCGGGGAGGTCTTGTCGCTGAAGAACTCAGACCCCATCAGGGAGCTGGAGACCAGGCTCATGATTGGTGGAGGGTCTCTGTAACAAACAGGGTCATGCACTGAAACCTCGGACACTGATATCAAGCCTCTGGTCGTGTTCTAGTCCGATTATCTGAATGTTTCAGCTTCTATAGTAAATACATCTACTCCTGTGATTCCTGATTCCCTTTCTCTAAACTCCAGAGTCCTACGCCGTCGTTTCTCTGGGTCTAAATATCACATGAAGCATGAAGACGAGGGAGGACGAGAGTCTGAAAACAGGAAATATTCAGAGTTTGTAGGATTTCATTCTGAAGAGCTGAAAACTCAAACATGGAGTAAAATGTATCACTGTTACATCCAAGGCTAAAAAAATAATCAGGGAGAGTTGTAGTTCCCTGAGGGTCCACCAGGGGCTGCCTCAAAGTGAGTCAATCCCTATAGAGCCTTATGTTAAAAAATCATTTACAGGTTCATGTTTGTGAAGGACGTTGAAAATCTTAACTAAGTCCAGATGTCCTTTCCATGCTGTGATTCCTACTCCAGAGTCCTGAACATCCAGTCCTGGTTTTAGCTGCTCCTCCACTAACTCCCTCACAGCAGAGTGAGGATCTGAAGCAGCAGCTCAGGGACACGGAGGAGAGCGGTCCGCCTCAACGGGAAATAAACCCGTTTGTAAAAAACACAATAAGTCAACAAGTTTCAGTTCAACCCACTTCACCATGATCGCCGCTGGGCTGGTCTCGGCCACGCCCACTTAACGCTGAGGCACCATGGGATATGAAGCTAAAGTTAGAGTTAGCCACCTGCTGTTAGCCTGTTAGCTACACTGTTAGCCGTGTCAGTAACAGTAGAATAAACAACAGTACACATTAGTGATGGAGCGACTTCTCTGACTGAGGCAGCTGCATGTCTGCAGATCAGACCGGACCGGAAGTGAGGAACGAGAGTGAAGACGAGGAGGCACCGATCAGTCGGTCTTCCTGTCGGCGTGAAGAGCAGTAGCCTACAGTATATCTACAGTATATAGTATACTGTTGACATCTACTGTATATATTTTTTTTTTATAACTTCATGAAAATTTTAAAAATCGGCCGATTAATCGGTAATCTGATTTTTTCCCCCCTAATAATCGGTATCGGCCACAAAAAATCCTTACCGGTCAGCCCGAATATCATGTTCTGTAGACGATGAAATTCTGAAACTCACGCAGTCTCTCACAGAGCCGTACAGGACCTGATGTTCAGTCTCAAACATAGACAGAGCCTCATACTGTGAACGGACCCGCCTGACTCTGACCCGGGGCGGACCCGCCTCTATAGGAACAGATCGATCGTGTTCCTGATTGTCTGCTCTGTTTTTGTAGGTCATATAGAGGCGTCGATATTGATCAGAGTCAGATCACAGGATCTCTCACCTGAACATTCATTCACACCTGAACTCTGATCTCCTGTTTCAACGTCATCAAATGTTTTTGTACTTCGACTCTGTAAACCATGAAAAAATACTGATGCTTTAAGTGTTTTATGGTTTTTAATAATGATTCTATAATAACTGAAGAGCTGGTTATATGAACACACACACACACACACACACAGATAATAGTCTTGTACTGCATGTTGTTACACATCAGATTTGCATTAGTTTGTTTTCTGATCAGGTAGCATCAATAATTAATGTTGAAGCCATTATTCAGGTTCTGTTATATCACCTGCGTTCATTACATTTGGATAATTATCTTTGTTTAATTAAAGTTCTCAGACAGTCCAATTCTGCGCTCTGCTTCTGCATCACATTACACTGATCTACATATACTGAATATATATATATATATGTTGTATATAAATATATATATATATATATACATATATATATGCATATATATTGTATGTTCATGTGTAATAATCTTCAGTTTTTCATTGGCAGGATATTAAAATTTCTTCACTGTAAGAAAACGGTTTTTACTTTTGGATGTTTGAACATTTTTCATCCACCAATAACAAAGAGATAAATCTGTTTTTTGTACAAACTGATCAATAAACCTGATTCTGTAAATGAACTCAGCTCTGTATGATCAATACAAACTCTGGTTTTTGCATGAATAGTTTCACAATCAGCAGCTTTTTCTGCAGATCATGTTCTCCAATGATCACCAGAAGCTCCTCAGCAGCAGCAGCAGAAAAGTGAATCTTACCTGGTCTAAGGAGAGAAAATCCTCATCGTCTCTGTTTGATCAAATTCTCCATAAAACTGTTTCAAATGTTCATAATGCGCAGAAATGATCCCGATAATCGATCACATGATGATGACACAGAAAGTCATGAAGATGAAGACAGATCAGGTTTCAGCAGCTCGTGCAGCCTCGGCTGTCTGCGCGTGCTGTTCGCAGTGTGGGTTTAAAACAGGGGTGCTGTATGAGGGGCGATCACTGCCACAAATGAAGGGGCGGAGTCACACACGAGGGGGCGGAGTCAAACACATGAGGGGGCGGAGTCACACACATAACTTTTTTTTTTTATTTTACTTCAAATGGGGTAAAAAGTGTAAAATGACAGAGAGATGAAATTGTAATGAAGTTTGACAGCAGAGGAGTGATGCCAGAATAATGAAAGTTAAAACTTTCTGCACTTTTTAAAAGTTTTTAAGATTAGAAAAATAAAAAAAGCAAAAGTTATGTCAAAGTTTCAGATGTTTTGGTCTTATAGAGGCCTCTCCATGTTAGAGGAACTTCTGTCTCAGGGTGGAAGAATAATAAATGAAGCTAATGAATCTTGGCTTCAGTCGTTCTACAGCAGCTAAAAGTCAGAGTTCAGGAGATAAAGGCTCTACAGGGATAAAGAGGATATAAGAGGTCAGGATACGATCATGGAAACAAGGATATAAAGCAACCAAAGGTTTCACATCTGCCTTAGGTTTCAACTGCAGCTTCTATGTAAGGCAGAGAAATCCCGCCATCTAGTGGCTGAAATAACGAACAGCGCTGTCTCACTGAATGTAAATTTCCCTGCCAGCTCTCCGGTTAAAGGTGGGGGAGTCAGGATCTGAGGAAGGACCAATCCCAAACCGCCCCCTACACACTCACCCTTCACTCCAGTGTCACTCCTGATGAAAGTCACACTCGCAGCTGTGGAGTGCACCTCATTGAAATGGGAGGGTATAAAGAAGACGGGTGGGTATGGGACGCCCTCCTCACTCCACCAGAAAACAGAAAGATTCATCGCCATAGCAACATAAAGACGTGTCCTGTCCATGGCAACGTTTATTTTCTTAGTAAACGGAGATCATGTTCAGTTCTGATCCGACTGCCTCGTTTCTTCATCCTCCCAGTAAAATCATAAATCCAGGAACCATCACAGAGACAGGAACTAAATCAACCTTCTGACTGTTAGTGATTCCACGTCTTTGAACCCCTTTACTATTGGACGTGTTTCTGACCAATCAAATCAAACTTTAGCACAAAGGAAGATTTCTGACTTTCGTTTGATTTTTCCAAACCACGTATTTTGTGGGGGTTTTTTTTGTCAGTAGGACAAAGGTTGACACAAACCGAACTTAACATTTGTTTGTTGTTTCCTCCTCCTCCATTTTTGGCGGCGCACTTCCTGCAAATCCTGTTGTGAGTGAGCATCGGTGCAGACTCGCTATTTGAGGGCTGAACAGTCAACTCGCCCTCGTCACTCTGTGGTTTGGGACGACCTTCAATATGGCGGCGCCTCCGTGGGGACGCACAAACGGAGGGAGAGTGTGTAGGGCGAGAGTTTAGGGGGTGGTTTGGGATCGGGCCGAAGTTCCAGTTTTTAGGAGAAATCTGGAATGTAAACTCTACCCCTCCCAACCAGTTTTCCCCTCAGCTCCTCCTCTCCCTCTCTTAAGCCCCGCCCACAAACAGACGCTCCTGCTCGCTCGTATCGTTCCAGTTAAATTCCGATATAATGCAGATAAATCCTTCAGATCATTACAAATGGGGCCCAGTCAAGGTGAAAGTCAAAAGCATTGGTGCTACTGTAGATGCCAACAGACTACCAGCAAACACAATGTTTGCAGGACTTCTACAACGAGGATAAAGTGACATAGTCCAGGACCCGAGGGAGGACAGTTTAGCGATGGCGCTACAACACGCTACAGCAGGTCCGTTTGACAAGAAACACTTCTGTTACAGACACTTGTCTTACTTTGTTAAAGCGGTTTACCTGTCCAGCAGAAAGGTTACAGGGTCACCAAGATCCCCAAGCGTCCCCCATGGTTTATGTTGACCCGGCTTTTTAGCTCTTGTCCGGTCTACCTCCGTTTTAAGCGCCCGTTATTCCTCCAGAGTCTCCGGTATTTACTTTGTTTTCTTGCTTGTGTCGGCAGTCGTGGCCAAAGGAGGATTCAGACAATTTTCCGAACTTTCTGGTTGGTTTCTACTGTCCGATATTGTAGCACGCTAACTTTGTTTGGGCTCCTGAACGACACGGGGGAGCAGCGTCTGCCTCACAACCAATCAGGTTAGAGGAGGTGGAGAACGGCTTTGTTTACAGTCAGAAAGAGCGGACGGACCGCTCAAAAATGTTCAAATGTTGACGACACAGACATAAGAGAACACAGAGATATCGATATATTACCAAATGTCATCAATAATGACTGATATTAGAAGATTTTTTGTTTATAAAACACAAAATAAAAAGATGCTTCTTTAACGGACTCCTGCCTTCCTCACCTTTAAGCCTCTCTCAGGTTTTGGTACCTGTGATTTAAATTATTGTCTCTTTAACATCGGATTTATTTTTCTGGACAGACACTTAAGTATGCTGCAAATGGAAATAAACATTGTTTGATTAAATTAATTATAAATAAAGATGAGAAGGCTTTTCTTTACTGCTCTATTTATTAAAATTAATTTGTTTTCATTTACTGGATTATTTCATTTGACTTTTTTTTTATTTTGACTTCACCATCTTTTTTTAATTTATTAATTTATTTTATTTTAATCTATGTATCGAACTTTGACTTCATTTTACTTTACATTCTTATTTACTTCTCTGATTTGATATTTTTCTGCATATATTTAAATTTAATGTACTATTTTATTTCATTTCAGTTTTAATTTTTTATATATATTATATATATATTTATATATATATATTATTTTATTTTATTTTATTTCAAATTATTTTATTTTATTTCATTTCATATCATCTTATCTTATCTTAACTTTTTTTATATTATTTTATTTTATTTCATATTATTTTATTTTTTATTTTATTGTATTTTATTTTATTTCATATTATTTTATTTTATTGCATTGTATTTTATTTTATTTACTTTTTTATTTCATATTATTTTATTTTATTTTATTTTATTTTTATTCCGTCCGTTTATTTAGAAGGACTGATATGTTCCCAGTATTGACACAAGGGGGCGTTAATCTCCCCTTGATCCCCCAGTCACAACACAAAAGAAGGATAACGTCACCACTCTATTGTCCAATGAGATAAGGTGCTGCGGAGTAGTCCCCGCCCTGCAGAGAAACCGCCATCATGAAATTAAAAACAAAACCCTGACAGATGAGACCGAGCAGCAGCAGCAGCAGAAACAGGTAAACTTTGGGGAGCGCCTTCACTAACCTCACATTTTCAAAGTTTGTGAGCACGGTGACTGCTTCTGGTGAGTCTACTGCTCCACTTTTCAGGGTTACCAATGATTCGTATCGTTAATTCTCCCTGATTTCCGTTCAGTTGTGAGTCTTATGAAGGCTAACATCAGCGTTAGCATGTTGCTGCTAGCTGTTTGAATCGTCTGTTAGTGAATCTTAACTGTCGTCTGCTTTTTTAAGATAAGCAACTAAATACATCGAAACGGATGACCAACGAATAGATCTAATGTTGTCAGGGGAGGGAAATTTAAACTGGTTTATCCCGGAGCCTGATGGTGGCTAACAGCTAACACTGATGTAAAGTTCCAGCGCGCCAACCTGCGGCGGCGCTGACAGTAAAGAAGCACAAAAACATCCTCAGTGTGAGCTCCAGGAGCAACAAACTGACCACAAATATCAGCCGATTGTTTAACAAGGGGTCTGGGGATTGTATTATAAAAGGACTTTCGAAAAAAATCCATAATGTGCAAATCTTCTGTGTGTAATGACATGAAAATGTGATATCAACTGTCAGATCCAGCTGTGTTTATGCGCAGCTTACAGAACCTCATTGAAAATTCTGCTGATTTTACAGTTTTACGCTCACACACGATAAAACCCGCTGTTAAAATATCCAGTTTGAAGTTTTTACCTAAAATAATAATTCAATTTTAAGTTTGGCTTATTTTTTAAGCCATTAAAGACTGGATATGTTTATGTACATTGCATACACAAAAAAAGTATAAAAGATAAAATTGTTTCGAAACTAGTGGTGGTCAAAGTTTTCCCAGTCTAGATAATCTCGGTCAAATATTACTCTAAGTGAAGGATGTACTGTTGAATTATTTCTTGTGTTAGTGGTTGACTTGTTTGTTTTCTAATAGCCATGCAGATAAATAAGAACAGACTGGATGAGCAGGTCACCCTCAGACTTGTTTTCTGTCGTCTATGATTACCAGACCAGTCTTACAGAACTCCTCTGCTGACGACACATTTATTCCTCATCTGTTAGGGTTGATTGATTCCTCTGCAGACTCAGGCGGCTGAATTATGAGCGAGGTGGTGGAGGAAGCCATGGACAGCTCTGCAGTGTCCGAGGAAGAAGTGGAAGACCAACAGGAGACGTCGCAGGAAGAGAAGTCGAGTCCGAAAAACTACTCCAAAATATCCGGTAAAAGAAAGAAATGTTCACTCTTCTTTCTCTGACAGAACTGACAGCTCTCAGACCTCCTCTGCAGAGAAATGATCCCTGTTTATGACAGCAGTGATCAAAGCCATGCTGTTCTCAGCTGTCAAACCTTCGTAATTACAGGTTATTAACGTACGTTCTTGGTTTTGTTTAGAACTCCTGAGTCTTCCTGCAGAGATAACACGGACGTTTGTCTGTGTTCTGCTCTCTAAAAACTGAGGAGCAGGTTTTTGTTTGGTGTTGACAAAAAGAATCCCTGTCAAGTTGATTATTTCTCATAATTTTTCACTCGGTCGTTGCAGCCGTGGGTGAAATCGTCGAAGGCAAAAGAGCAAAGAAGACGGTCGAGAGGCTCGATTTCCAGGCGCCGAAACAAAAAGAGAAGCTCAAGATTGGAGACGGTAAATTCACCCGCTGAGAGAGACTGGATTAGTTTTTGTTTTATGATGATTATTGTTATTCTTTTAATATCCGCTCAGATCATAAGTTGTGTTTTTTTTTTTTTCACACGTTTTCAGGCTCTGGAGATAAATTAGGAGACATCCCACGAACAGGCTACCAGATCACCAAGATGAAACCAGCTGACCTGAAACCTCTGCACACCATCCTGTTCGACAGACCGGGGAAGGTACAGACATGGACAGTGGACTCAAATCTGATTATTGTTAGAGAAGTGATGGTGAAGTTCAGACTTTAGGGGAATGAACCTGCAGAGGAGAGAGAGACAGAGAGAGAGAGAGAGAGAGAGAGAGAGAGAGAGAGAGAGAGAGAGAGAGAGAGGAGAGAGAGAGAGAGAGAGAGAGAGAGAGAGAGAGAGAGAGAGAGAGAGAGAGAGAGAGAGAGAGAGAGAGAGAGAGAGAGGAGAGAGAGAGAGAGAGAGGAGAGAGAGAGAAGAGAGAGACAGAGGAGAGAGAGAGAGAGAGAGAGAGAGAGAGAGGAGAGAGAGAGAGAGAGAGAGGAGAGAGAGAGAGAGCGAGAGACCCTCTCAGACTGAAGTGTACAGGGAGATGATTCTGTGTGTTCGTTCGGTTTGATCATGTTTTTCATGTTTATTTGTTTGTTTGTCAGATGGCCACGATAAAGAAGAACCTCCGCCTCTTTAACGGGTTTCCTTTCGACGCCGACAGCGAACAGTACTCCAAAAAGAGAGAAAAACTTCTCAAGTGAGTTTCTCAGTCGACGAACATCCTGAACAGACCTTCATGTTTGGTTAATGTTAGTCAAACATTTACGAACTTCTGAACATTTTCTTTGTGTTTTTGATGCAGAAATTCAAATTTTACAAACTCCAAACTGAAGGTGGTCTGTGGGGTTCTGGATTTGGAGAAGAAAGGGACCCACTCAGATCTGGTGGACAGGATCATGACTTTCCTCTGCGCTCCGAAAAACAGCGGAAAGGTGAGCAGAGAGTTGGGTGTGTCCGAGTCTTTCTCTTAAACCGGATCAGTTTTTGTCTCTGAAATCAGTGAAACTTTCGAGTTTGTGGACGTCAGATATTTCTGTTTCTGTGTCAGGAGGATAAAACATCTGAGACTAGTTCACTCAGATCCTCACTTTTCAAATGTGGTCTCATCAAAAATCCTTCTTCATAGTTTTTATATCTCTGACTGAAACAGCTGTGGACCTTCAGCTCTGAAGTTCAGTCTGTGATTCTGTCCGAGGAGCTTCTCCTCCGTTTGAACTGACCTTCTCTCTGTCGTTCTTCAGCGTCTGCCCGTGAAGAAGAAGAGGAAATCCAAGAAAAAACTCTCCGGTGACGACTCCAAGACCAGCTCTAAGAAGAAGAGCAAACCCAAACCCAAGAGCTCTTCGTCCAGTCCCAAGAAGTCCAAAACCGGCAGCAAGTCCAAAGCCATCGTCATGGACTCCAGCAGTGATGAAGATGACGATGAGGAGGATGAGAAGGCGGGCGCTTCAGCTGAGGCCGAGGGATCGGACACGGAGGACAAACCTTCAGAGAAAGAGGAGGACCAGTCAGACAAGTCCGAGGAGTCTGCAGACGAAGAAGAAGAAGAAGAAGAGGAGGAGGAGGAGGAGGAGGATGAAGATGAGGAGGATGAAGATGAGGTGAGATTGTTCAGACTCAGTAAAGACTAGAGGAACATTTTAGACCTCGAATGAAACCAAACAAAGACCCTCACAGCTGCAGAGCTTCTTTAGTCCGACTCTCTGATCTGTGGAACAGCTTCTGAACCAGCAGGCTGATTAATGGATGTCAGAGTCAGACTTCCATCGTTAAATTCCGGTGGTTTGTGGGTAAAACGGTCGTCATGGTTTCTCTGTTTCAGTCCTTCAAACCAAAGTCGGCTAAAGGGAAATCCGCTCCAAAGAAATCTGCTCCAGTGAAGAGACAGAGGACGCCAGCCAAGAAGACGGGTCCTCCCAAAAAAAGAGCCAAGAAGGACCTTTCAGACGAGCCCGAGTCCGAGGCCGACAGTGAAGCTGAGGAGAAGGTAAAGACGGTTCTGATGGACCAGAACCAGATCAGGGATCTCAGGTTTTCTTTCTTTAATCTAAAACAGTGACTGGAGAGAGAAACTGACGTCTGTCTTTATTCTACAGCCTAAAAAGAAGAAGACCAAGTCGGCTCCGGCCAAACCTGCAGCTAAAACCAAGAAAGCCGACAGCAGCAGCAACAGCAAAAACAACACCAACACGGGTGAGCGGCGCCGACTCTGAGAGCGACCAGCCGCACTCAGACTCTGATCGTTCATCTCTAAATGGAAACCTGGATCTGTGTTCGACTTCGTGACCTTGTTTGTATGTTTTTGTTCGACCACCGTGATGACTTTTACTTCCTGTCTGCGCCCGCAGCAGAGGACAGTTCAGACGACGACGAGCCGCTCATCAAGATGATCAAGAAAGCGCCGACGGACGAGCAGCTGAAGGAGACGGTTCAGAGTCTGCTGAAGGAGGCCAACCTGGAGGAGATGACCATGAAGCAGATCTGTCAGAGGGTGAGCGGCGGCGGCGTCTTCCTGCTCAGTCCCGCCCCGGCAGACTCAGACAGGAAACAGGTTTGAATTCTGCGCGATAGTGACTCAGAAAAACCTTCTGCTGTTTCAGGTTTTCGACACTTACCCCGACCACGACCTGACCGCCAAGAAGGACTACATCAAACAGACGGTCAAATCTGTGAGTACACGCACACACACACACACACACGCACACATGCACACACACACGCACACACACACACTGCTGCCATGTGATTGGCTGATGAGCTTCTTGCGTGAACAAGCATCTGAACAGGTGGAACAGGAGGATGGAGACCTTCTCTGCCTCGTCCACCAGGGGGCAGTCAGGTCCCTTCATACCAGCTCTGTTGGGCGGGTCGGCATGAAGCCCGAGAGGAAGAGGGGGGGGGGGTTCAGAGCCGAGTCCTGAGTAGAAAATCTGTTTCTGCTCTAAAGACCTCCTCCAAACCAAAGACCACATCCACCCGGGTCCAAACCCAACCGGTCTGCAGGGCCGTCCGGTTCGACACCAGGACTGAACACACAGTCCGCTCTGAGTTTTTCTGCTCGTAGGTTTTTGAGGAAGTCTCACATCAGATAGTGACCCTGCTGACCCAGGATGTCCGACTTCCTCTTTTATGGTCACAGCTCGATGTAAACAACCCGCCGTGTTCCTTCTGCTGTCTCACTGAGTCTGATCTGAGTCTGATCTTCAGTGAACATTCATCAGCTTCTGATTCTCCAACCTTCACACCCCAAAATAAAGAACGTTCACACCTTTTCTCACAGACTAACTTCAAACCGTCTCACTGACAGACGGTCAGTCGACGTCTGTAAGCCTCTGTAGTCTGTCGGCCCGCTCTGGTGCTGTTTGAGACACAGAGCAGATCATGAGTTATATTTGGACCCAGATAAACCCAAGAGCGGGTTCTGGTGTTCCTGTGTGGCTTGGCGGTCAGCGCTCTGCCTCTGCAGAGAGGGTCTGTGGTTTTCATCACTGTGGTCTTCTAAAGTCAGATCTTTAAAACTTCATCAGGTCCTTAAATTATTAGAAAAAACAGAAAAGTCTTTTCTGAAAATCGTAGTATCAACCCTCACATGGAGCCGCAGATTTAGGAGTCAGGAAGTTGAGGACAAATTGTCACACAGATGTCAGCTGCTTTATCAAAACAAAGAAAACTCAATATCAACATTTCCTGTTTATTTTAGCGGCTGATCTCAGACAGTAAAAGTCCCTCTTCTATTGAGGTCAGTGCAGACTTCTGACTCTTCAACAATGTTATAGTTTCATATAAGTTTGAATCCGTTTTTACTTTTGGAAAATGTGTGTTTGTTTTTTGATTTGTAGGGAGAGACACTGAAGTACAACCATCCACAGAGGATTAGAGACACAGAGTGGACCCAAGACCTCAGAATCATAGTAGATGATAATCTGACTTTATGAACGGCTTTATTCTGATTTTTCATCATGTTTAAGATACAGTTTCAGATTGTTGTCGTCTGTATTTTCAAATTCATTTTAGAAAATATTGTTTCAAACTTTTTGTCTAAACTTAAGCAGACATTTGTACCTTAAGACTGATGTCCTCACCTCCAGGCCAGCTGCTGTCCCTAATGTTACAAGAATTTTGACAAAGACATTTATTTGTCAATATTTCAACACACTCCATCATTTAGCTGGGGACAAGAAAGTTAGTGGAGCCAAGACCCGCTTTACGTTGCTTCTGATTGGTTTATGTTGCGTGGTGCCTTCCATGGTTGGTTAGATTTAGACACAGAGAGAATGGATCGGTTATCTTGGTCAGTCAGTCCGAGTTCCTCGAACACGGCAAGCCAAGTTTATTATCATGAAAAAGCAAATAGAGTATTGAATGGGGAAATATAAGCGTGAGAAATGTCAGGTGTGGCGTGAGAACGGGTCAAACTGCGTGACTGTCACACTCACAGCGTGACGCTTGGCAGCTCTGCTCTTGTTATACGGGATTTTTTCTTATTCCCCTTCAAACAAATGTTGATGAGCTGCGAGTTTAATAGCAAGTACTTGCAAGTTATACATCAAAATTTGAGGTTTGAATGGGGTTGGTGCTTTTACTTTTCTGTAATAAATATGGTTTGGGAATTTCTCCTCGTGGGACTAATAAAGGGGTCTCTCTTATCTTATTTTTTAAGTCTTGAGAAGCTATAGAAAAATTTTCCCTCGAACGCCCCTCCAAAAAAAAAGGCGTAATTCTCTGAGTTCTCAAACGTCTCCTGCTCCAGCAAACTTTCAGCTACAGACTCCATTTAAACTTTAAATCATAGACACACGTCTTGTTTGTTGGTGTTAAAGGTGTTGTAGTTTTTGATCACTTAATATTCACTGACTGTGATCACTGATGGAGGAATTTAGAGGTTTGAATGGGTGTGTATTGTTCAGAATGTTCATGTGTCAGAGTGGGTGACATCATCGTCTAGAATGAGAGAAGATCAATGAAACTGTCATTGATGTTTAACGATCATTGATCTAAGCAGTGATGTCACAAAGGGCTGGATGTTCTTTAGAATGTTTCCTCTCACACTAACTGTCCCTAACCCGGAGTAAAACACCATTCAGAATAATTACACCGATTTTTGGAAATGCACATTTTTTCTATTTTTGAAAACAGTTTTTTAGAAAAATTAACAAAGTCTGGAAACATAAATATTTTTCTGTACGTTATTTTTCATTTTCCATGATTTCTAAGACCTGGAAATTGACCAGATTTATTTCCATACTTGAAGGAACCCTGTGATCAAAGTTTGTCTGCACACCAATAATACTCAGTTTAACTGTTATTTAATCGTCTGACTCTGTTTTTTGAATGTGTCTCTACAGCTCATCACATGAACCCTGAAGATCGAAGAACCTTCAGAACTTCACGTCAGAAACTTTGATTTTTTGTTAGTTTCATATCAGTTTGTTTTCATACAGCAGTTTTATACATGGTTGTGTTTTTTATTCATGTGTATAGACTTTCAGATTAACAGTCATGATCACCCATCTATCAGGAAAAATGAGCTGAGAGTGAACCGCCTTTTTATTTCTAACGTTTGTACATATGTTTCTAATGAGGTGATATTTTTGATCAACAGTCTGTCAGAAAGTTGTTGGTTTTTTTTCTAGTTTTTGTTTTCTGTCAGACTTTGATTTACAGCCTAAAACCCTCAGATTAATCCTGCTTTACTGATTAAAACTGAACCTTTTTCAGCAAACCTGTGTTCCTTGAGTTTGTGTTGATGTGTGCAAACGTGACCGCTGATTTCACTGCAGAGTGTTCTGGTTAATATGTCAACACTGACCTTCAGCACCTCCTCTTCCCTTCCTTGTTCAGCCGTGACTCTGCGGTTAAAGAAAAGAGAAGAGTCCGATTAAGTTTATAGACGAGTTTGTGAAAAACAGCTTCCTTTTTATGATGCTAATGACATGAATAAAACATGTCCTGAAATGCCCTTCCTATTAAAAAATATGGTGGTTTTGGTGGCTGCTGCTGCCATCAGGTATTAAAGTGTTTTTAGAGAATCTTGAACAATGTCAAACTCAGTAAGTGGAAACCCTTCAAGTGGATAAACACTAAAACTGTGTCCTCCATGTGATCTTTTAGAACTAAACCATAAAAAGGGCTCAGTTATCAAAGATCCATGTGAAAAACAGCTGACCAGCACAAGAGCTTCAAGCATGAAAAAGCATTTATATTCTGATCCTTATGATTCATATTTTTAACTCTTTTTGTAAATAAAGTTTAGTGAACGATGCTCAGAAGTTTCTGAATTGGACCCCCGACCCTCTTCACTGTGTCCAGTCAGAATGATCAGTTTCTGGTTTTCACATCTGCAGAAATCACGAGGACCTGACATGGGCCTCAGTTCACCAGGTTCAAATGTCCCACGTGGTTTACTTCATGCACCAATAACAATCCATGTTGAGGCGTTTTCAGAAAGTTGTTTTTATCTTCAAAGTTCATATCAGATCTGCGCAGCTGCAGACTCTGACAAACGGGCTTCTATCAGACGAAGGTTGGGGTCTTTTCTCCAGGAAGTTTTAGGTGGGGGGGGGGGGGGTCAGTCTCCAGGTTTGTCTGAACACCAGTCCTCTATCAGAGCAGTCTTATAAGCCCCGCCCACAGAACGAAAGTGAAAGTAAGAAGTTGTTTACTGTGAAACTTGATCCGCTCAGAATTTCTCACTGCGTCAGTTTAGCTGCTTTGGTGCAGAGAGAGAGAGAGAGAGAGAGTGCAGGTGAGTCTGAGCTGGAAACTTTTTATATTGGCGCAGAGAGGTGTCTAAACCGTGCGTTTGTGTGCAGTTTGTGTGCAGTTTGTGTATTTGTGTACAGTTTGTGTATTTGTGTGCAGTTGTGCAGATATTCAGACCCTGTCGTGTTCAGGAGGAAAGAACAACAAAACAAATCTTGTCGGTCTGATATAATTTTCTCCACATCTTCATGTTAAATTTTCGGGTTCTGGTCGATCGTCTGTTTACATGTTCAGTGTTCCGATTATTAACAGGCGAGTGTTGATTTTAGTCATCTGTCACTGAGTAAGCTTCTCTGTGCCAAAAGACGGTTTGACTTGTTCGATAATAACCCCTGAGGGAGGATAACTGGGGGAGCAGCGCCATCTGGTGGCAGAATTTAAACTCGAGTAAAGACATGAAATAAAAAAAAACGGACTGAAGGCAGAGGAGCTGAAGAAAACAGAGTTTATAAAAATGAGTTGACATGTTAAAGTTCCTCAAAAATATGAAAACGTTTGATTTTCTAAGAACACATATTAGATTTCTTTATTTGGAGATAATTATTTATTCATATTTTTTCATATTTTCTTAAATATTGTGAGTCTGACTTTAAACTCTGAACGCAAACTTTAATATTTCACTCACTAACCTCAGAGATCTGACTTTACTCTCTCCATAATTTCACTCTGAGAACAGATTTCTGTTTTTCAACCTGCAGCTCTGACTCTTTTTAAATAAATCATTTAATCCATGAGATAAAAACAGGCTTAGGGAGGCCAACTAAGGTCAAATGTACAAGATGATGTATAGTGAGCAGGTTGTTTGAGCAGGTTATAACCTGAAATAGTTGAGAAGAGTTGGCAGGTGATGGCGGTGTTTTTTTTATGGTCTTCAAGCTGCCGATGACCTTCAAGTTTCTGAGCAGCGACCCTCTGTTTTCAGATAAATAAGAACCTAAAGAAGTGTCCCTGCTTAAGCTCCTCTCTCACCTTTTGTTTTCTGTCTCTGCAGGTCGATTGTATTTTCAAACCTGGAGTATGTCAAGTTTTTCTGCTGACTTCTATAAAGTAAGTGCAAACTTTCTCTGCAGTAACTCTCGGGTCAGGTTAAGGACATGTGCAGCCTCTCTGATCAGATATGATCAGATTAACGTGTTTTTGAAACATGATGAAGTCTCGGTAAAAGACCTGATCCGATTAAATATGTTTTGTTTTTTTTCAGAGGAGACTTAAAGTCAAACCCAGGGAACCCGACAAGTCTGAACAACAACAGGTACGTGAGTTCATCTGGTTCAGTAAAAGAAATTAAAGCTGCACAATCATAAAAACATTATTTTATGTTGAAACTCTTCAGGAGCATCTTTGCTGTGAGTCCAAACCACTGTCCTCTGCTGCTCTGCAGACGTGAAGCAACAAAATCCAACAAATGTAAGTCCAGAAATCACTCCGTCTTCCAGCTGTCTGCACAGCGATGAAGTCTGGTGTTTTAAAGTTGGTTTACTCTGAGTCGAGAAGATTCCTATTTATTATGAAGGGAAATACAAACACAAAGAAGACGAAACCAAAACATGGAGAAACTTTTCAGTTGAATGAGCTGAGGTTGGAGTCGGTAAGATGAGCAGCACCGCCTGTGTTCTGATGTTTACTGTCGAATCCTTCACCTTCATTATAGAAGCAACAAAAGCCTGAAAATGAGTGAAGGTGGATCCTCAAGAGTCAGTGCTGCTTCTGTGGCAAGCCGACACTCCAAAGACTACCCTCCAGAGTTCGGCCTGACACCTCCTGACAGCAGGTAAAATAATAATCTGTCCTCTCAGATTAGACCCAAAGGTTGTTCTTGAACGTGGACCACAGCATGTTTTCTTCTGCTCTTTAATAAAACGACTTTGTTCAACAGAGGGAGTAAATCTGAGGGCAGATCAGCGCTCAGCCTCATGTCTGATCACTCCAAAGACTACCCTCCGGAGTTCGGCCTGACACCTCCTGATAAAAGGTAAACCGTCTGCAGCTTTGCTTAATGAACCCCCACAGAACAGCAAACTGTCATCAGCGTACAAGGAAAGACAGGGATCAGTCCAACGGATTTTTTACTGTTTTTCAACACTTTAAAGCATTAGTCAGTGACTCTGTGTAAACTAAAACAAACCCAAGAGGTTTGGATGTTGTAGAGTCAAAATAATGAAGAATTCAAGGATCTGTTTGAAGATGTTAGGAGTTTTGAAGAATTTCTGAAAGACGAGTCAAGGACCAGAGTTGGAAACTGAGAGGAGACGGTGGGAATGACATGCAGCACAGGGTGGGATTTAGGACCTCTTCTTTGAGGACTTGACAGACTACATGATGTATGTGTACTACAAGATTCTCCGATCAGAGCCATAAACTCACGACTTAACGCAGACTTGACGAATCGCCACGACCAAAGAGAAGAGGGGAAAAGCTAACAGGGGTTATCCACAGGGTTGCTGAGGTGCGTCAGCTTTTCCTCGGCAACATCTCTCAGTCCATCGTGGTCGTTAACACATTATTAAGGCAGAAATGTTGCTGTCAGAACCGGACTAACTTACCCTCGGTCTTCGGGTCCCATCCCGCAGCAACAACATCACCGTTCCTCTTTTACGTCATCTGAATTTGATTTTAGTCATTTTTTTATTTTATTTTAGTGATTGGACTACCTCCAGGTTTCAGCAGAATCCAGACATGATGAAGGTAAGCAGTTATAAAAGTGATAAGAGTAAAACTCATTCCTAGTTTGAACACTATTTTTGATCAAACAAAGGGGTTTAGATTTAGGTTATTGGCAAACCGTCAGATTTTGTCCTCACGGTTTTGAAAAAGGAGATGTCTGAGAGACTTTTGACGAAACATTTTGTGGTCTTTGTCAGGTGTTCGAGAACAAAGTCATGGATTGTGTAAAGAAAGCTTTGGAGTCACCAAAGAAGATCCCGTCTGAGGAACAGAAAGAAGAGGACGTGGTTGATGATGAACAGCCTGATACCGATGCTGAAACTAAGGAAGCTGCTTTAAAGATCGCCTTGCACATCCTGAGGAGCATGAAGGAGGATAAACAAGCCGACATGCTCGAGCAAAGTAAATCCTTTAATGGAAACTAGCGCTCATCGCCATAAAACAGCAACAAAAAAATACGTTCTGAACTTCAGTGATTTATAACTACTGGAATAAGCACATGACTAACACGCGTTTCTTGATTTTTCTCACTTCCTCTTAGGTCATTACGGGGTCACTGCAACCTACCAAAAGATTCAAAAATCTTTCCTGAAGTCGAAAAGTCAGATCTTGTTCGTAGACACTCAGACGGCGCCTCTTCCTCTGGAGAAGATTTACACAGAGCTGTACCTGATAGAAGGGGACACTGCAGAGGTCAACCGTGAGCATGAAGTCAGACAAATAGAGGCAGCGTTCAATAAGCCAAAATCTTCAAAGACTATGATCAAGTTAGAGGACGTCCTTAGGCCCTTACCAAACCAACAGGCCAAACCAATCAGGACAGTGCTCACCAAGGGGATCGCAGGCATCGGCAAAACCGTGTTGACCCAAAAGTTCATACTGGGCTGGTCAGAGGGGAAGGCCAATCAAGACATCCAGCTCCTGTTTTTACTTCCCTTCAGGGAGCTGAATTTGCTGAAAAATGAAACAAGAAGTTTGATGGAGCTCCTGTGTGACTTTTCTCCAGGCCTGAAAGACTCTGGAATCACAGACCTGAACAAGCACAAAGTCCTTGTTGTACTGGATGGTCTTGATGAGTGCAGACTGGCTCTGGATTTTGAGGGGACTAAGGACCATGATCCCTCCCAGCCAGTTTTGGTCAGCGTGCTGCTGACAAACCTTATTGCAGGTAAGCTGCTGCCAAACGCTTCTTTGTGGATAACCACCCGACCTGCTGCAGCCAGTTCCATTCCTGGACGGTATGTTGACCGTCTGACCGAGATACAAGGTTTCAACAACAAACAAAAGGAGGAGTACTTCCTCAAGAAAATTGAAGATGAAAATTTAGCCATGAGAGTGATCTCAAACATCAAGTCCACCAGAAGTCTCTACATCATGTGCCACGTGCCCGTGTTCTGCTGGATTTCCTCAATTGTTCTGGGGGAAATTTGTGCAGAAGTCGGAGGAGGAAAAATGCCAAAGACTTTGACTCAGATGTACATCCTCTTTGTAGTACATCAAACTGCTCAGAGAAATGTGAAATACGCCACAGAGGAACAGCTGGACTCTCAAAGGAACTATAAGTTGATAATGTCACTTGGAAAGTTAGCCTTTGAGCAGCTGAAAAAAGGCAACCTGATCTTCTACGAGGAAGATCTGAGAGACTGTGGTATTGATGTTGAAGAGGCATCCATCTACTCAGGAGTGTGCACCCAGATCTTCAGGGAAGAGTCCTGCATGCAGAAAAAAGTCTTCTGCTTTGTGCATCTGTCCGTCCAAGAGTTCCTCGCAGCTCTGTATGTCCATGTCAAGAACACGACCAGTGGAGAAAACCCTCTGAACCAAGAACGGACCAACAAGCCTATATCTGATCTGCACATCACTGCAGTGGACGAAGCCTTACAAAATGACATAGGCCAACTGGATCTCTTCCTTCGGTTCCTCCTGGGACTCTCCCTGAAGTCCAACCAGCATCTTCTCCGAGGACTGAACATCCAAGTCGGAGCTTTGGACTCTCAGAGTCATATGGAAAGCATCGAGTACATCAAGGAGAGAATAAATCTGTCAGAACCAGAGAGGTACATCAATCTCCTGCATTGTCTGAATGAGTTAGGGGACCACACTCTGGTGGAGGAGATCCAGGACCAGTTAGACTCACACAAAGACATGGTGACAGACAAGTGGTCTGATGCTCATTGGGCAGCTCTGGTCTTCCTGTTACTGACCTCACCAAAGAGGCCAGAAGACATCCAGGCCTCTGGAGGCTCCTTCCAGCCATCAAAGAATCCAGATCAGCAATGCAAGTCTCTTTGAGATTTCCCTTTTCCTCATTTTTGATCATCAGACATCTGAAATCCGTGAACAGGGAACTTTCTAATCTTTATGTCTCTCCTGGTCAGGTTGAATGATTGTAATCTGGCTCCAGACTGTTGTCAGGAGCTGTCAAGATCTCTGGGCTTCAGCTCTAATGAGCTGAATCATTTGAACTTAAGCGACAACAGATTGAAAGACTCTGGAATCAAGCAACTGTGTTCCGGACTCCTGGGTCCACACTGCAGACTGAAGACTCTGAAGTAAGTCCAAAGCTGACCATGATAAAAACCCTAAAAGGGGTCCACGCATAAGACCCCTGATTTCTTTGTGTTGTAATTTACTTTGTTTTTCTCTTCAGGCTAAACCGATGTGACCTGACTCAGATGAGCTGTGAGTCCTTAGCTACAGTCCTGAGCTGTCCCAAATCAGCCCTCAGGGAGCTGGACTTGAGTGACAATGACATTGAGAACTCAGGAGTGAAGTTGCTCTCTGAAGGACTGGGAAAACCAAGCTGTAAACTGGAAACTCTCAGGTATCACTCAACAGAAACTGTTCCTCCAGTGGTTACAAAGAGTCACAACCTCCAGTTCAGGGTGAACTCTCTCCTTGTGTCACAGGTTGTCGTTCTGTAACATCACTGAGGAGGGATGTGAGTTCTTGGCCAAGGCAGTGAAGTCCAATCCATCCCACCTGAGCGAGTTGGACTTGAGCTACAACCACCTTGGACTTTTGGGAGTGAGGATCATCCATGACGCTCTCGAGGAAGGACGGTGTGAATTGACCAGACTCCGTGTTAGGTTTAAAACCTGCTTGCATTTTACCTGAAATAAAAAGGAGAAAGACAATGGATAAGTTTGAGTAATGGACAGAGATGTGTTTTGGATATCTCAGTACCACACTGAGGGTTCTTTTTCTGTCCGTGCTCTTTTATTTAGTCCCTGGTTACATAATGTTTCTAAAGGGGTGATAAATGGTGCAGCAAAGTAAACATTCTCATAAAGCATAATGAACACTTGTGAATATGTGAAGGTCAAGGCGGCATCTAATGAGCTCCTTCTGATAACAGCGGCACCTCCTCAAAAACTCCCCACGATTTACCGCGGAGGATCCATCACTCACACACCCCCACCTGCTGATAGGAAAGACAGTCACAGAAAACTGAAAGTAACATTGTTGTGCTGTGTAGTAAATCTATTGAAGAGAGAAGTTAGGAAACACTCTTATATAATGTATAAAAAGAGGTCAAAACAGTTTATACTTGTAGTCAACTCTTACATAAGAATATGAGGAATAATGATAACTTCTATATACATTTATGCACATTATTCTAACATTTCCCTCCTGTTTATCATTACTTTGCTCAAATTCTCATAATCCCTCTAGTTCAGCCACTTCTCTCGATTTTCAGCTGCGAGTTCATGTGTATGACTACAAAGAATTTACACCCGGAGGTACAAGATGTTGCTTTAGTCAGAATTATACTCATCATCCGGATTGGGGCACAGGTCAGGCCATTGAGTGTCATCAAGTCTGTCCTCCTCGTCCTGCTGATGGAGCAGCGGGTACAGCTCCTGCATCTGCTGCTCCACAGGGGACAACGCTGTGGTGATAAGGCGGTTAAGAAGAGAACAAATACAGAAATACAACAACATCCACACAAGGTCAAATTAGCTGCAAAAACAGCAACAGAGATTAGGACTGAATCTACAAGATTTTTGTATTTTCCAAATACATTCATCCAATCATCCCAAAAGGAGTTATCTATTCCTGAGTGGTCTTTCATTTTGCTGTGAAGCGTTTTTAGGCCCTCTATGGCTCGAGTGAGGCTACCATCAGCAGCAGTGTCATCAGGAATGAACGTGCGACACGTTTCTCCAAACATGGCACATACACCTCCTTTTTCTGCCAGCAGCATGTCAAGGGCTATACGGTTTTGGAAAGCCATCAGGGATGTTGCAGATAACTGCGAGTGAACGGCCTGAAAACCAGCCTCAGTCCAATTACCTAGCTTTTGAACGTTGAAATGGATGTAGTTGATTCTGATTTGATCTATATTTTTGTTCATTGTACACCAAGGACAGACGAGAGACTCAAAGCCTGCAGCAATTTGATTTACTAGTTTATACTCATCTGGTACCTCACAAGGAACTATCTATATAAATCGGGTCTGACTCTGTTTGCTAATTTCTTTTACTCTGGAGTGGCTCAACAAAGGAATAAGACTAACTGCAGAGGTTAAATTTGCCACACTGGTCTGGAAAGTTACAACAGTTAGGATTAAAGTCACTAAGGTCCTATTATCAGTCTGCTGTCATTCAGGTACAGCTACAGAAAACACATACACTTTTGTTATGGTTAGGGAATTCCTAGTACAGACATAGAAGTTAGACAGATTCTTCATTTTTGCTAGATATTTTTGCATATCTGTACCACATGTTCACTTCAAATTAGTTTTTCTTTATTTATTATTTATTGAGAGGGATTACGAAGCATTCCACTATATGTTATTCATATCTTTATTAATATTCTTCTTCCACCATTTTTTAATTAATTTTTTTTATTTTATTTTGTGATGTACCTTTAATAAACATAAGTATAAGTGTTTATTGACAAAACAAGCATACACAAAATCCCATTGTAAACAGAATAACTCAAACGCCTAGTAGCAGTTAAGCTATGGTAAAGTTCTCAGTGTCTTCACCACATGAAGCAACTGTGGTGTCCGTCTGGGTGATTCATACCCCCGCTCACTGTCTCTCAGGTTTGCTCTCTGCACATGGTTGCCTTCAGAACAGCTGAATGTGATTTTTGATTGGTAGTCACACAGGATGTGAGGACTATTGTTGTTGTCACTTCTCTTTCCTTCCTTAAGTTCATCTGAAGTTGTAAATAATGTTTTCAGTAGGTAAATTAACAGTTTCAGGTTTAGCAAAAGTCAGATACTTAACTTCCCCATTTTCCTAAGCTCCTAAGGAATTCAACACCATCTAATCTTCACTGACATTGAGACGAACGCCCACTATAAGGACGCCCCCCTTTGAAGTCAGACTTTCCTAACTAAAACCCATATAGGTTTTTTTTGCAATGGGAAAGATGTATCCAACTACTTCTTTGTGCTATTTTTACTGCTGTGGGTGTCATTAGCAGTACCTTTATTTATTTATTTATTTTTTTTTATTTCCTTCCACTTACTTCAACATATTAAAAACCATTTAAACTTCAGGAGATTCCAGCTTATATTCAAAATTTTCCTAACATTCTTCCTTTCCGAGATATTCCAGGTTTTCAACCAATTTTTCTTATTAGAAATACATTACGGAATTTTTAAATTGGCCCTTTTCTCACATTTTCTTTACACAACTTTAAAAGACTTCAACTCCTCTATACATTCAGATTATGATCATTTTAATTTTTTCAGTTTTAAATCATTTCATTCTTCATTCAGTATTCAATTTTTTTTCAAACTAATTTCAACTCAATTACACAGATTTAAACCTTTCTGAATCATCAAATCTCATAGCTTTCACATAATTTTTGAACTTAAAGCATTTACAATAGCATCTTAGCAATTACAATTTTAGCTGGAGCAATCCATCTCGCAATTTCTTCAGAAATTGCATTTTCTAGTTATTATTATTTATTTATTTATTTATTTTTTAAAATAATTTATGAATCAATAGGGTTAACTACTACACTCCTCCCTCCTGTCGAGACATGGCAAGGCCCATGACTCGCTATTACTATCTCTCAAGCTCTCTCTGTGTGTTGATTTGACAAAAATCTTTTGTTTGGAAAACCTAATCTGTGATAGTTTATGTCTAAGAACTGTCTTCTTTACACCGGAGCCACACAAAAAGGTTAAGGGTAAACCATGAATCATTAACTATATCTGCGGTGTTATGTCTGCACAATGTATGCCTTCTCCAAATGACTGTTGCAGCTCCGCTGATACAGGAAATCTGTCCTGCCACAAGTTATTACACTGTTAAATAACTCACATATGTCAGACAGGGACTCACGCCTGTCTGCTGTATAGTCCATTCTTAAAAACTCCTATCACATCATATTACAGAGCACCTTAAATTGTATATCTATCATCCCATCTGTAATATTTCTCATTTCATATTTATTACTCATTTCATATTTTTTACTAATTTCAATAGTCCACGTTCTTCATATCTCACTTTTATCTCTTAGGATGTTTAGTATATTTAGCCTATATTTATTGTTTATACTTAGTATTTTTATTATTTTTAGTCTGCATTGTACTACTTCTTATATTTAGTTTTATATTTACTTTTTGCTACTATAACAAGAGAATTTCCCAGTTTGGGATCAATAAAGTATATTCATCAATCTATCTATCAAAATATCTTTATATATTTATTTATCTTCTCCAAGTTTAGCACTTCTTCCTCCTCTGTCTCGTCTCTGTTCACACTTTCTCTTTATTTATGTCAAATAACATTTGCTGTCTCTCCCTCTTGTAGTCCTGCTTGATACGTTTTTCTACAGCTCTTCACCTAGTGACAAAAAAGCTCTACAATTCTCTGATGTTGTGGTTCATGACCTTGGTCAGGGTACTATTCTTTATCTCTTTGCTCTTGTGATTCATAACTCTTGTCAAAACTTCTATTTCCTCTATTGTGTTCTCTATTGAAATTTCTGCCTCTTAACCTGCTTCTTTCTTGTTTTCTTTGTCATAGTCATCAAACGGTTTATCATCTCTCTTATTATTCCATAGTCGTCCTATTTATCTCATATAGTATGAAATTCATTGTCACATTTGGAGTTAATCTTAAGTTAAATAGCATTATAGAGAGGGTTTTTAATTCCGAGTTAGCTTTGGTGTTCTCTGCACTTTACTATGGTTACTTCTTTAAGTTCCAATAAGGTATAATATCAATCAGTTGGTTCAAATGTTTAACAGGGATGCCAGCTGAGGTCAGAAAACCTCTTCTTCTCCAGTGACACGTCTACATGTACAACTTATACTTCATAGACTGTAACAGTTTAGTCACAGTTTTGTCTTTTAATAGCTACATGCTTCTGCATAGGGAGGGATTCTTTGGTTGCTGTGTCTCTGGAGGAGTCAAGGTCGTAACTGGCATGTGATGAATCATTTTGTCATTTGTGCAGAGAACAGAGACTGTACAGAGAATTTAACTTGCTAAAAATTTGCAGTCTGCATCAAACCTTTCTGCCTTTTTAACTGCCTTTTCTACCTTTCATTTCTGCATCATTATCAGTATTATTATTATAATTATTATTATTATTAAAGTTGTTTTTACTTATAGCTTTTGATCTCGTCCTGACTGCTCACGCCTTCCTCCCTTTGATTTGTTATTGCAATTACGGCTATATGTCCCTCCTTTCCACATGCCCAGCAACATGTCCCTCTTTGATTTGCTCCTCCTGGTCTGGGCCTATCTTGTCCTCTACCTCTGAATCCTCTTCTGCTTCTCCCCTTTTTTCTCCTCCTTTCTCCATCCTCTCTGGCTTTTGCTACTTTTTTCCATTCATCAATCATTTGACACCCATATTTTATGCTTATGGAGTCTTGTAGTTTATTTAATTGGCTTGTTCTTAGGCTGCCATCAAATCCAAATTTAGTTACCCATAATTCGAGGAATTGTAATTTTTCTGGCTCTTTTTCAAAGATTCTCCAATCTTGACATCTTAATTCTTCCAAAATAGCCTTACTGGTTTCCGTCTCCATTTTTATGTGTTTTGGTCCAGCTTAGGTGACACCTAGGGTGTCCTATTAAGCTGGGTTCTTTCAATGGGGTAGTGATAAAAATTCCTTATGTGGTAATTCTCGCTTCTACTCTTGCGAGTGGAGAATTCTTGCCTTTGCTTCCACAATAAGGTCACTACTTACAATCCCACTGTTTTGGTATGAATAGGATATATCTAGTGATATATGCCTATTCCAATCACTCTCACACTTTCACAATCACACTTTTAACACGTGTTTTGTTCTGCAGAATTTTTCCTTTTTTTTTTTTTCTTTTTTTCTTTTTTTTTTTCAATTAGGCCTTTGTCAACGGTACCACACCGGACCCGCGCGTCTTCATCGGAATTTAAACTACTTCTAGTAGGACTCCGGCACCCTTCTTCGGAATTTAAACTATTTCTAGTAGGACTCCGGCACCCTTCTCGGAATTTAAACTATTTCTAGCAGGACTCCGGCACCCTTCTCGGAATTTAAACTATTTCTAGTAGTAGGACTCCGGCACCCTTTTTGGTCTTTTATAAATTCTCTACGCGAAGTGAATTTCAATCATTCCACGCTCCTTTTTATAAAAGACCAACTCACCACTTGTCTTTCCCCTTGGCTTCGGATTTCCGTCAACCGTCGGATCCCAGCAGGCAGGTCGAGTCCAGTTCCTCAAAGAGGTCTTCAAGACTCATCCTAAAGAGTCTGCCGTGGCCACGGTCTTATCTGTCGTCCACCTCACCTGCTGGAATCGTCTGGTCTATTGGAATCCGGCTCGAAGGACCAAAGAAATGTTAGGTTTAAAACCTGCTTGCATTTTACCTGAAATAAAAAGGAGAAAGACAATGGATAAGTTTGAGTAATGGACAGAGATGTGTTTTGGATATCTCAGTACCACACTGAGGGTTCTTTTTCTGTCCGTGCTCTTTTATTTAGTCCCTGGTTACATAATGTTTCTAAAGGGGTGATAAATGGTGCAGCAAAGTAAACATTCTCATAAAGCATAATGAACACTTGTGAATATGTGAAGGTCAAGGCGGCATCTAATGAGCTCCTTCTGATAACAGCGGCACCTCCTCAAAAACTCCCCACGATTTACCGCGGAGGATCCATCACTCACACACCCCCACCTGCTGATAGGAAAGACAGTCACAGAAAACTGAAAGTAACATTGTTGTGCTGTGTAGTAAATCTATTGAAGAGAGAAGTTAGGAAACACTCTTATATAATGTATAAAAAGAGGTCAAAACAGTTTATACTTGTAGTCAACTCTTACATAAGAATATGAGGAATAATGATAACTTCTATATACATTTATGCACATTATTCTAACACTCCGGTAAAGAACAGGTTGTTGTTTTGTGTATTCATACCGCTGTGACACAACCCGCCCAGGCTGATGAACGTTTCCTCTTCTCCACAGAGTCGATCACAACAAAGAACACTGGTTTAAACCAGGACTGAGAAAACGTGAGTCTGGATACTTTAGCTGCACTCTGTGATACTGTTTACTTTATTAGCATTTATTAAAACTCAGTGAGGCTCAGATAATCATGAGTTCAAACTTTAATTTGACTGTAGCCCATTATCTAAGGAACTGGAAACAGAATCAGAGGGATAGTACACTCATGGATGAAAAGCCGCCTCAGTGACAGACAGTATGCCTGTTTAGACGGTATGTTCTGTTGCTCTTGTTAAATGTTAAACTCCTCGACTTCTTGCTGGTTACAGATGCATGCGTGCTCACGCTGGATCTGAACACTGCCCACAAACTTATAATCCTCTCTGACAACAACCGGAAAATTGTTCATGGCGCTGAGGACCAGCCGTATCCTGACCATGATGACCGGTTCGACTTTTGGCCCCAAGTCATGTCCACAGAGGGCCTGGATAAGCGACATTACTGGGAGGTGGAGTGGGAAGGAAAGTGGGCTGGTATCGGAGTGGCCTACAAAGACATGAAACGTAAGGGGCACGACAATGAGCGTTTGATGGGGTACAATGAAAACTCCTGGAGTCTGCACTGCTCTGGGAGAGGATACCGCGCATATCACAACTTTGAGAGCGTCGTCACTGGAGTCCCATTTGGCGGTTGTCGTGGACTGGCCGTGTACCTTGACTGGCCGGCAGGCATGCTGTCCTTCTACAGAGTTTGTCCAGAAAGGTCTCTGACACACCTGCACACCTTCTTCACCAGATTCACCAAACCTCTGTACCCGATATTCAGGGTCTGGTGTAAGGACTCCTCGGTGAGGCTGTGCCAAACGTCAGACTGATTCACTTCAGGGGGGTTCAGTGCTTCACCGAGGTCAAGAGAAGAGAAGACTTTAAGGTGGTCTCTGCTGGAGATCACACAAAAGACGCCCATACTCATATTAACGGTATAATTGAAAATATAATAGTTAATAAACGTTTATTATCTCAACTGTACAGAATAATGTTTGTAAGAGCGCAGTTGTAGTTCTTGGCTCATAAAACTGAAGTGTGTTTGATCATTGATTTTTCACAAATGTCATAACTTCATGTGTTTGTTTGATTTATTAACATCAGTAAGAACTAAAACTAGGGCTGGGGCGATTCCGCCACGTAATTGACGTAATCGACAACAAAAATTCATCGACGCATGAAACAAGTGTCGAGGCGTCGATGATTACATAGACAACGGCTAGGGAACCCCAAAACCGCCCGCAGCAAAAATCTCCCAGACTTTATAACCCAGATGTTTCGTTTTGTTTGATTTCAAGAGATTCTTGACTAAATCATTGAATTAATGAGTAATAGCAATAGGACAAATATTTACTTGCTATTTTGGTTAAATTCATTGTTATATTAAGATTAAACTCTGTGTTTGTTTTATCGTGTTAAACCATTAATTCAACCACTTTCAGACTTATTTCTGGGTTAACTAACGCGTGTACAGATTTCACTTTGTGTTTATTTAGGTCAAAGTTACAGATAATTGTATTTCCATGGAATAGATTTTTGTTGTATCTGGATTTATTTTTCTATTCTGATTTTTCGAACGTTGTTAAAAACAGAAGCTGCTGATGCCAAAGTTTCTTTTGAAGTTCTGCAGTCTGATATAAATGACAACCATTTTCTTTCCAACTCTCACTTTATTCTGAGTGTAATTTTAAGAGGAATGTCAAAAAATACTTACAATGATCGTCTTTCTTGACTGACTTTAATAAAATATAACATAAAGACAGTCTGTAATATAGTGGCTATATTTCCAGCTTGAGAGCGCGTGTCTCTCTCCTCCCTCCATTATTGTTTATGTTTGTAATGTGTGTGCACGTGAGTGGTCCTCGTGCTGAAAACGTGAGTGATGCCATCTTACTCCAGTATACCATTCTGGTCCGCTCTATGGTAGCTGACGGGAGGTGAATAATCTGATCAAAAATCCTCTTAACTCTGAAATGTTGACAGATTTATAAACGGTTTAGTTTATTACAGACCTTATTAACGTGGCTGTGAGTCGGGATGTTTGGACTTAATAAAATGACAGATTTACTTTGAGAAAAAAAAGACTTAATCATGAAGAACAGCTGATTCACTTTGGACTAACTTTAAGTCGCTTTGTCAAGGCTGAGACCACAATCCAGGTTTTAATTTCTCGTATAACAGCCTATATTTTATTTATTTATTCAGTCTAAGTGTCAGTCTTTGTGGGTGGTCTTGTGTTTATCAGCTGTCTAACTTGGCTAACAGACTCGCTGTGACTGAGACCAAAGTTACAAAGTTGACCCAGTAATTTGACATCAGTTAAAGAGGCAGAAATGCTCTTTAGATTCAACAAAACTGAAGTTACACATGATTTCTAAACTGTCTGGTTTGTTAAAAACATCTAAAATGGAAACATGAGGCAGAAATTTATACTGAAAATAAATATTTATATATGTTATTGTTATATGTTATTATAGTTATCACTATAATAGAAATATTACTAATATGACAAACATGGAATGATCAAATGTTTTAAATGATATAATATAACTGGTGTCTGTAGATCTATAGCTATTACTCTACCTATCTGTTTAATGTTTATTTATGTAAATCTATAGTTAAAATTATTCTTGAGTAAACAGGAACATAACTAAAACTCTGAGGTTTGTTACAAACCAAACCTTTTCGAAATCAGTTTAAAATTAATCAATCTGTGGTTATTTAAATGTCATATGTGATGACGCTCGGCTCAAACAGCGTATCCCCCGGTGATCTACTCAATCTCTGTCCTCCCATAGGCTGTATCAGGTGTCAATCATAGAAAACATGAACCCCCTAATAACTTTTAAAAATGGAGCTGTACAGAAAAAAGAGGACTTGAGCTCAAACCAGTCTGACAGTAACTACATGTCAACATCACAACCAGGGGGGAGAAACATTTATATTCTGTGTCATTCATTTAGAAAGTTTGTCCACAGCTCCATAAGGAGGCGGGGTTTATGACCTATACTGCAGCCTGTCACCAGAGGGCGCTGTTCTCGCAGAGAGGAGGAGGCAGACGGCGTCTGTTCTAGATACGGTCTATGGTTTAACACATACCTGAAAAGGTTCACCTGGGATCAGCTGGTCAGTGAAGTTTCAGGGTTTTAGACCTGAAGCGCCGCAGAAGGACAGTGTGGAATTATTCAGACTTCCATGTTCTTAAATGACTTCCTGTTGAAAAGGTAAAGTTATTAACCAGATCACACAGCTCAGCACAAACAAACACTGCTGGTTTGATTCCCACTGAAAACACACGGCTCATCAAAGAGGATGTGTGAAAGTATGACAAAGTGACTACTGTGAAGTTCTAATGTATCTTCAGACCAAAACCCGCCCCTGCTGCAGCCAGTCACCAGAGGAGGCTGTTCTTGCAGTTGGTATCACCCAGCGAGGAGGCAGACGGCGCCCGTTCTATAAACAGTCTATGGTCCGGTCCCATTAGCCATAAGTTAGAGCTGTGGAGCGTTTAACGCTGTGTGTTTTTACCAGGTGATGATGAACGAACACTGAAAGGTGTCCGGCAGGTCCCTGACTATAGAGAGAGTGTGGAGAGACTTAAACAGAGGTGGTGTTTTTGTTTACCTGCTCAGCTGTCGGCTCAGATGAGATCAGCTGGTGGTGAATGAAAGATGAATCTCTGAGTCACTGACTTATCATTTATTTTATTTTCTCTAACCAACAGTCAGTCCAAGCTGCAGTGCACTTGTATTCACTGAAATACACTTGACATTATTTAATGTGTGTTTAACAAAGAGTAAAGGTTAATGTAAGTAAAGCACAAGTAAATAAATCTGTGGCTGCACTATAAAGCTGCTGTATTTATTAAAATCAAAAAGAATAATGCAGTCTTAGAAATATAATAAAAAACTCAAAAATATCAGGCCTCAAACACTGCCAGCATACTTCTTGAAATGTAGGCATTAATAAAATTCAAAGTGTCAGCAAGCAATATCAATCATAATAAAATATCTGTATTCTTCAGCCCTATTTCAGTCATTTCAGCAACAGTTCCAGACGCTCTGAAGTTTTCTGGTCATAACAAGAACTTCTCAGAGATTTCAGTTTAGAAAACCTGAATAAAAAACAAAAAGGCCAAATCAAATCCAGGTGGACAGAGCAGTATACACATGAACTTTCACAACAGTGAGTTTCACTGCTGGAGTCACAGCTGGATGAAGCTCTCCTCCTCTTCCTCTTCCTCCCAGTAACACGGTTCAGTCAGAGCCGCTTCACACAGACTGCTGCTGCTTCAACCTAATAGGTCATCAGAGCTGACGGAAATCACAACTTCAAGCTGAGAAGAGAAGAGGACACATAACTGTGGTCAGAAATTAGAACCCTTCAGACTGCAGTCCTAAACTCTCAAAAGTGCAGGTTGTTCTTCTGCAGCACTGAGGTATTGATCACGCATCAGGGAGCACAATGGAGCAGCAGATCAGCGGTATATCTGCTCCACTCCTCACACTGACAGAAAGCCTGAACTCAAGCTCACAGATCACAGCTGGTCCTTCTCCTGGTACAGAGGAAAGAGAAACTCATGGGACTCTGTTTCTGATCATGTTATCGTTAACGTTCTGAAGTGCACTGTAGTGTTGGCTGACCTGCACCTGCACAACAAGTCTATGTCACTAAATCACATTCTTCCTCAGAGTTGTCCTGGTAGCAAAATCAGGTTTCTGAATCAGGATAGGATGTTAACATGCACGAGCAAAAACCCAACATGATTAAAAATCTGATCAAAGCTGTGATACTCAAGTCCATGTAACTGCACTCACTGACACTGAAGATAAGATAAAAGAGGATTAGAGGAACCTTCACTCATCAGACGGTGGGAGATCTGCAGTATGTCGGTCTGAGTATTTATCTATCTTTCAATAAAAGTGAATAGAAAAAAATGTCTTAATACGTCTGTTACATAACTGCTGAATCTAACATGAACTGGACACACTGCTGTACTGACCTCACAGACTCCAGTCTGTAGAGTGGACTCTTCACAAGATCAGACAGCTGCTCCACTTCTGACTCCTGCAGGTTGTTTCCACCCAGTTCCAAGTCTCTCAGATAGGAGAGGTTGGACTTCAGGGCAGAGGCCAGAGAGGAACAGCTGACCTCTGACAAACTGCAGTAACTCAATCTGGATAATAAAGAAAATATGTTTAAAATTATTTGATTAAACAGTCAAATGTGTTGCTGAACATTTAAATTTCCTAATCAATGATCTTTTTCTGGTTATTAATATAGAGGTTTGTGGTAAAATCAGCCTTCCACAGACATCATCCAAATGTCAGCACAACATTCACACATGAGCTCTGAAAATTCATCCTAAAGAGATATTTAATCTGGTGAAAACATGGCTTCAGAGACTCTTGTGTTTACAGGGACAGTCAGTCCATCTGAGGACAGCTTATCTTTACTGCAGTGTCTTTAAACCTTCTGTTGATGCCAGCTCTTCTGTGGACAGGGTGATACCGTGATCTTCTCCTGCTCTGTAAATGTGAAAGTTGTGTTTCCACACAAACATCTCATCCTGCTGTCTTGTACACGTGAATTATAACTAGGGCTGCGCGATATTGGAAAAAACTAACATTGCAATTTTTTTCATCCCTGTGATATCACGATATTAAAAAACAGGAATTTTCCTCAGATGACCTGAATCTGAGTTTCTGCTGAAGTCTTGAGGACAGTTAACCTGCTCTGATCTTCCCTCTTTAGTGAATGTTAGTCGACTGTCTTCTGTCTGTCTCAGAGATAGTTTTAGTTTTTATTGTTCTGGGACGTTACCGTGGAAACAGATGAACACAGATCACGTGTTTTAGTCGACATCATCCTTCTATTAACCGAAATAATTCCTGATAACTGACGTTGATTTTCTTTTTACCGACACGTCTTCATCTTCGGTGGTTTTCTCTTGTTCATTTCTCTTTTTGAAATGGTTATTGTTGTTGTTACCGGTGTTGTCCCGAGAAACACGCCCACCAAGAATTTCATCCACCTCACAGAAACGCACACCGCTTATAGTCGAGTGGTCCATGAAACTGTAAAATTTAAAACCCAAACAGTTTTTATTTGTGGGATAAACAGCGATGAGGAATGTTCATTCTCTGAGTTCCTCGAAACAACACCTTCAGCGCTGCAGGGGCGTGGTTTCCTCCTCTCTGATTTTGATTGACAGCTGGCAGGCTAGTCTGATTGGCAACTGAGTAAAGAACGAATGTGATTGGTGGATCGCTGCACAGCACATGCAGAGTCACATGGAGTGTATCTCAGTCAGTTACCCTTGAAATTAACTGAGTTCATTGACCTCCAACATCGCAGGCTCTGATGTGACTATCGCACACACGTACATCACCATGACGATGCTCAAACGATATATCGTGCAGGCCTAATTATAACTCACTGTTAGTATGTGCAGAAGCAGTCAGAAGAGCAGAGTTTATCACTGAACATTACCACTGTAATTATCAATCTTCTTTGTACTTATAAAGATCACCAAGAGGCCTCAGTTTCAAATTCTGTCTGTTTTTCCACCAGTTCAAAACTCCTCAGTGTCTCTAAGCCAGAAGAGTCTTTACTGACTGCTGACTACAATCTGAACATGGAACATGAATGTGACCAAATAAAGGACATTTCAATGCATGTCAGGTATGTATACAGAGACATTTGAGATTAATTAACATGAGCGACCAAGAGTGAAAACAGAGAGTGAATGATCCAACCTCAGAGTCTCCAGTCTGCAGTCTGGACTCTCCAGGAAACCACACAGATGCTTCACTCCTGAATCCTGCAGCTTGTTACAGCTCAGCTGCAGCTCTCTCAGGTAGGAGGGGTTGGACTTCAGAGCAGAGACCAGAGAGGAACAGCTCTCCTCTGACAGACTACAGCACCACAACCTGAAAGAAAAACAATCTGTTTGCAACTGAAATGAGACTCCAAAGACCTGTACCTGACACCACAGGGCCCAGACACTGAGGCTGACATGACCCTGCCATACAGTCTGAAAACTGCAGACTCTTTCTTATGATTACAGTGAAATCTTTATGGTCAAACCTGAATAATAATAAAAAACTGTGTTCACTGCTTTATACTTTTGGAATCATTTAAAAACCTTTTATTGGATGAAGATCATAACAGAGGACCAGTAGAGCCGTGTGACCAGATTTAGGAGAAAAGGAGCAAAATGATTTTTTCCACGTTGAGAATAAAACAAAAATCTGAAGAAAAAAGTATTGATTCCATTTTTTAAGAAAATTGCCGAGACGTAATTTCAAGAAAAAGTAGGCGGGAGCTGAACAATGACATCACTCTGTGTCCGGGTCAAAGCTGGTCCAGTTTATCTTACTTTGAGTGTGCTGTTGTGCTGTTTTCAGCAGATCCGGGTCTTAAATTCTTTTTTTTTGGTTCAGAAGGTAGATGGCTGATCATTATACGTGGTATTCATAACTTTTAAAGGGGCCATGGCATGAAAAACCGACTTTGTTAACGGGAGGGGGGTGCATATCAGGGACAGAAAACTGTCCCCCAAGTTCTAACAAACTCCATCCAGTCGTTTTTTAGTTATCTCCGTATTTAGGAACTGTGTGCTCAGAGCCCTTCTGAAAACTCCACTGACATGACGTCATGTCAGTGATGGCAGGTTGATGGTTCTGCCCACGGAGCCGCCCACTGCCCTGCCCACTAAATTATCAAAACACCGCCATTACTCCCGGCCGCCCGCTCACGTAGCTCCGGTTAGAACCATGGCGAAAGTACGATCTGATAAGAGGCTCTGTTGTTGGCGGCACAAAGGAGCACAAAACTCTTTTGAAAACTCCCTCATCGGAGGATTTGAGGACTTGATGGGTGGATTTTATTTTTAATACGAATGTACCCGCGGCACTTCCAACATTTCTGTACGTATGTGTGTACCATTTCACTTCGGACTGTTTTACCAACGAGGGACAGTTCAACGCTGGATTTGCTAGATGTCTGAAGATAAAGAATGGATCCGTACCAACTATCCGTGATCCTACTACAAATCTGTAAGTACGAACGTTTTATTTTGACTTACTGTTTAGCCTAAATTCCCCCCGGTGCCTCAGCACGGCCACCACGCTTTGATAAACACACCGGATCCCCCCGGATTTTAGCCGCTCGCTTCTTCCCCGACAACTCCGGAGCAGCATGTAGCTTTAGCATTTAGCCGTGCGGCGACGCGCCTCTTTTGGCTCGAATACGGGACGTCCCGGCTAAGCGTGACCCTCCTGGCGGCTTTGAATAATGCATAGGATGTGTCGACTCGGTCGCTTCAAGTCGCGTTTGGTCTGAACGCGGCTGAGAGTTTCTTCCGGAGCCTCTCCCTCTGGGTCAGACTGGCTCAAACTGGTAGGGATGACCGAGCCAGTGTAAACATAAGCACATGGCTATCGGAGCACAGCCACAGCCCCTTCCAGAGAGATGGGTGTAAAGTGGACGTGGCTTAGGTGCAGCTCATTTAATTAAATAGACATGGTCCAAAACAGAGGATTTTGAGCGGAGCTGTTTTTAGCTGATAAAAAGAGCACTAAAATAATTGATCCAAATCTAATTTTGACCAAAGGACGTCACAGACATGCTTTTAATGCACCAGGGGACTATTTTAAGTTATGTGAAATTGGCATGCCATGGGACCTTTTAAAGTTGTGAACAATTTTAATTAGTTTGACTTACAACCTAATAATACAAATAGTTATGGTCCAACACACGGCAGATGTGTAAAAAGGAACTGTAATGGCTAATTTAAACTAACCCGAATAATCAATAGGAGCTGAGTACAGACGCCTGTTCTGATTGAAGCAGTAATCAATGTCCGTGGCAGTCTTCCAGTATGGACACTTACTTCTGTTAATTAACATTATATCAGGATTTTAATAATCTGACACAAATGTTAAAGTGAGTCCAGTAATTAGACAAAAAAGGATAAACTGAAGGAAAACATCTTCAAGAACTCAGCACGGTCAAATACAGGTGTGCTCTCATTTCACACCCAGTTCTGATCACCTGGAGCCATTAGTTAACAATCAAAGCTAAGGCTCCACCAGGTGTTCCATGCAGGAGTCACACACAAAACAAAACACACACACACACACACACACACACACACACACACACACACACACACACACACACAAAACGCTGTATCACTGCCTGTCCCGATTACGTCAGTTTCTGACCTCAGAGTCTCCAGTCTGCAGTCTGGACTCTCCAGAAAACCACACAGATTCTTCACTCCTGAATCCTGCAGCTTGTTGTCATTTAGGTCCAGCTCTCTCAGATAGGAGGGGTTGGACTTCAGAGCAGAGACCAGAGAGGCACAGCTGTCCTCTGACAACCTGCAGTCCCTCAATCTGGATGAAAAATGAAAAAGAAATGATGTAAGTTCATAAATCCTTGAGTTTAAAAATCTGTTCAGAGTCATGAGACTGTCACAGCTGGTAGACCTGATCTACAAACCTACACCAATTCCAGTCTTCACTAATTTTAAGTCAAAAACATTTAGTTTCTCCATGCAGGTAAATTAGAGAAACAGAAAGGCTTTTACTTTGGAAAGTATCCAGAAAGTGTAACCAGATTTGATTTTTCACCCTGAAAAGTTTATTACTAGTGTCCATTTTTAACTGGTGGGGGAGTCTGTGTGATGCCAATACAAAAATTGATGTGTGAGAGTCCGTTTGTTTTTCTGTGATGCTCGCAAGTTTATCAAAGACGTGATTGTACACAGCACAGGAAAGATGGTAAAAGTGTGACTATTGAAAACCAGATCAGGATCAGGAAGGTATCAGTCTGTGGTTGAGTGATCTATCTGTCAGACCACAGATGGTTGACCCTAGAGAGCGGAGGATGGGCTTGGCTTTCACACACTGAACAGCACACCTCAGTGAGCTGGTTGGGTTCAAAGACTTTTGTAAATGGTGTAAGAACCTCAGAACATTTTTTTCCACCGCTCTTCTCAGACTTTGTGGTAAGCCTGCTTTTAGTTAGAGGTGTAACAGCTGCACTACGTAATCTTTGTCCTGGGTTGAAAATGAACACTGGTTTCGATTGTTTTTAATATCTTGTGGTGAGAGTGGATACTTTAAAAAATAAACAGTATTTTGGCAGTTTCATTACAACACAATTCAGTTGCCAAATTAATCTTAGCATCCAAGTAAAAATGGTGTCTGACATCAGAATCTCCAGTCTGCAGTTTGGGCTCTGCAGAAATCCACACAGATGCTTCACTCCTGAATCTTGAACCTCGTTGTTGCCTCTCAGGTCCAGCTTTCTCAGATAAGAGAGGTTGGACTTAAGAGCAGACGCCAGAGAGGAACAGCTGACCTCTGACAGGCTGCAGAACATCAATCTGAAAAAGAAACGCACAATGAAGATTAAAAACGTATTATTGAGGATCCTTGACAGATCTACAGACCTATGACCTGAAATTTAGATCACAGTATTTTTTTCACTGACTACAGTGGGGTGCCGCAGCTCAAGGAAGAACATTTATGATCATTTCTTTATGGAAATACAAGCAGACCGAGAAGCTAAGGCAGAAGAACTACCGCGTCTGCAGTGCACATACAAGATACACAAGAACTCTGATTGTATTTCCATGAAATAATAATCATAAATGTTCTTCCTTGAGCTGCGAAACTCCGCAGCACTTGGTGATCGACTCGTCAGGGCTCCCCCACAAACAAAGGGCTGCTGGGGGAGAGTGGGTGAGCTGTGTTTGGTCTCTGGCATGATATCCCCCTTTAATATATAAACGAATGAACTTTGATTCGATTTTGAAACTCACTTTACCAACAGTAAAAACAGTCGATTAACTGACCTCAGAGTCTCCAGTTTGCAGTCTGGACTCTCTAGAAAACCACACAGATGCTTCACTCCTGAATCCTGCAGTTTGTTGTCACTCAGATCCAGCTCTCTCAGATAGGAGGGGTTGGACTTCAGAGCAGAGACCAGAGAGGAACAGCTCTCCTCTGACAGACTGCAGTCTTTCAATCTGAATGAAAATAAATCAGTTTTTTATATTCTGTCAAGGTAAGAGGGAGTGGCCCCAAAAAGTGCAAAGCAAGATCTAAATAAGTTGTGAATAAATTAGGGAATGTGCGATTAACCTTGCCAGGGTTTTCAAGGATTAAACAGTCAAAGTCAAAAGTTAGCAGAACTCTGACATCAGATTAGTTTTAGTCTTAAAGTTAAATCGGTGTCTGACCTCAGAGTCTCCAGTCTGCCGTCTGGACTCTCCAGAAAACCACATAGATTCTTCACTCCTGAATCCTGCATCTTGTTGAGACTCAGGTCCAGCTCTCTCAGATAGGAGGGGTTGGACTTCAGAGCAGAGGCCAGAGAGGAACAGCTGTCCTCTGACAAACAGCAGTCTTTCAATCTGAATTAAAGAGAAATGATGCCCTTTGAGAAATCATTCAGTTTAAACCTGTTCAGAGTTGAAGATCAAATAAGGGACTGAACCTAACATTTCTTAGTTTGAAGACATGTTAGTGTTTTGTTACATTTCTACATGGATGAGTGTGTAACTCTAACATGTTCATATGTTATGTTGCTCCCCTAGCTCCCACTTCTTTCCTTTTTGCCACTGGCTGCGTTTTGCAGAGTCTGCGGCCAGTCTCAGTCTGACAGGGGAAATGCGAAGATGAGCTGCTCCTCTCAGCCTCTTATTCACACCAAGCGCAAGTAAAATCATTTGCATGAATGAATTACTTGTAAGGTTAATGCAAAGATGGGATTAGAAGCTCTTACTACTCTGGCAGTGTGAATGACGAGAATCGAGTTATCTGCACAAATCAAGCGGACGCTTATTCACGAGAGTTGAAAATATCTTAACTTGAGCGAATAGAAGCATCGCAATAATCAATCAGCACAAAGATCCCCCAGTGGCGTATGAAAACAGATCGTAAAATGTTCACTGGTGTGACGATATAAACACAAATCGTTTTACTAACAGTAGACACATGGACAGATGCGCTGCAGCTGGGATAGCGCACCTGTAATCGGTATCCTGGAGGGATATCCCAGCACTGACCCTCACCAACAGGTCATCAAATTGGGTTCGGGTAACCTGTAAATACTGTTGGAAATGGCAGGCACAGCTATTGGAGGAGACCCAGACACGGCGATGCCTACATCTCCACCGGTTGTGGGCCTTCCACAACAAAAACAAAGCAGCAATCCGCTGAAGGTGGTTCACTCCTACCATGCTTGATGGGGACTCTGCCATGTGAGGGAATGACAAGCACAAGCCATCACTTTCTCCAGGCTGTCAGCATCTTGTGCCAACATTGCCCCCACAGTGACCTGAGAAGTATTGGTGTAAAGAATGAAACGGTGAGTGAAGTCTGGGTGACTCATTTTAGGTTCAGCCCAGAGAATGTCTCACAGGAACTCAAACGGCTCCTGGCAATCTGCAGTCCACTGATACAGGGCATCTTTCCCCGTAAGGTGACTGAGAGGGGCTGCTTGCTGGGCAAAATTCCTCACAAACCTCCTGTAGTAGGGATAGAGCCCCAGGAAGGCACGCACTTCTATGGCGGACCTCGGTACAGGCCGTGACTGTACCGTGTCTGTGTTCTTGGGGTCAGGGCGAGACCTCTCAGCAGAGATGACGTGCCCAAGGAAGACCACATGATCCTGGGCCAGGTGGCACTTCCTGGAATTCAGCCATAGCCCAGCTGCTCCGATCCGGGTGAAGACCTCCCCCAGAGCAGAACAACGATCCTCAAACGACCTCCTGTATATCAGTGTGTCGTCAAGATACACCATGCAAATGTGCAATGGCAGCCCCTTTAACACCAGCTCCACAACTCGCTGGAATGTTGCCAGTGCATTTGTGAGCCCCAAGGGCATGGATCTAAACTAATTGAGGCCCTGGCCAGTGGTGAGGGTGGTCTTTTCACTGTCCTCCTGCGCCACTTCCACCTGGTAGTAGCGGTCTGAGAAGTCCAGGGTGCTGAACCAGGTGGCTCCTGCTTGGGTGTCAAGTGTATCATCGACACGCGACAGTGGGTGGAAATCTTTTATTGTCACAGCATTGAAGCCCCTATAACGAGCACAAAATTTCCATTTATTTTTCTTCTTCCTGACGAGAACCACAGGAGAGGACCAAGGGCTACTGCTCTCTTCAATGATGCCACCCCTTAAAAGGTGCTGGACCTGCCTGTTTATTTCCCTCTGCTTGTCAGGGGAAATGCGGTAGGCCCGTTGCTTTATTGGGGTGTGGTTACCTGTTTGAATGTGGTGTTTGAGCAGGTTAGTGTTGCCTGTTCCACCGCGTGCAGGGCTGAACACTCTCTGATGTCTCTCCAGCAAGGCCTGCAGCTGCTGCCTCTGATTGTCAGCAGACAATCAGCTACATCAGGTAGGGGGGCATCCACCAGTCGAGAATCAAAAACCTCTGCAGGGGTGAGTATGTCACAGTCATTAACATGGTGAAATACCCCCAGGTGAGACCCAGGGCGCAGTTTAAGTTGCTGCTGCAGAGTTGTCATTGTGACCATGTAGTGGCAACACTGGCGTCTGGGTCTCATTGCCAGCTACTGGAAGTTTCCCAGCTCCTTTCTGTGTGGGGATGGAGATGAGGGAAATAGAAACCTCACTCCCCATCACAGTTGATGTCCCTCTGCAAAGCGTGGCTCCCTGTGGCCCTCCCTGTCCAGCCGGTGTGGCAAGAAGCCAGCAGTGATGTCTCAGGTCCCCCCGCTCTCAAGGAGAACATTCCCTGCCACCGTATCCTCGCTGAAGCCTGCGCTGTGGAGACTAGCTTCTCATGCTGCCCTCCATCCAGAAGTCCCAGGAGGTGGACCTTCATTCAAACCCACCGCATGCAGAGTGACAGGCATGCCACTACTCTCTGAGCTCCCCCAAGCTCTGCTGAAGAGCCCCAGGAAAAGGGGAACCACCACCGCCACACTCAGTCCCACAGGTACGTGCTCTCAAATCCTTCACCTCCAGTTGTAAATTGTCCATCCTCGGAGTGAGTCATACCATGACATGAACAAGCTTCTCTGTGGCATTAGCATTACAGTCAACACCTTTGGTGATGCCAGATCATGAGCGGCAACAACAGCAGCATGTGGGTTGGAGTAGGGCAATCCAGGTGTGCTTGCCCATAGAGCCTGCCTGTCCCGTTCACAATGGCCTACTATAGATGAAGCCTCCTCCACATCCATCACCCCCTGTTCATGGCTATTGGCTTGGAGGGCAGGGTCGAGCCCGGAAAAGGTCTATAAGTCTCACCATTCCTGACAGCTCTGTCATAGTCAGGAAAAGCCTCAGCCACAAGTCTGGTGATCAATCAATCAATCAATCAAATTTCATTTATATAGCGCCAATTCACAACAGTCGTCATCCTAAGACGCTTTTCAAAGAACAAGAGCAGGTCTAAACCACGCTCATTGTTTGATGAATTATCAAGACCCAACCTAAGATGGGGTTTAACCTCATCTCATCTATCATGAGTGACAGTGGCGAGAAAAACTTCCTTTTAACAGGCAGAAACCTTGAGCAGGACCAGACTCATGCCAGATAGCCACCATGCCGCTGCTGGGTAGGGGAGGAATGTAGAGAGTTTCTAAAGTCACTCTTTTCTGCTGACAAAAACTCACTTACATATTACTCTCTTTGGAGCTGAGCAACACACTCCATTTATTTTCAACCATAGTTTTGACCAGGGCTTATGTTTAGGCATTCACCGGAGCTCCTGCACAGCACGGTGAGACCTTTTGGGCCACAGGGGGCGCCGGTACCTGGCCATAGTTTTCAGCCTGTCACATCGCTGGCTGGTTTCTGAAATCGGTTGGTATTTTAAATAACGTTTTTAAAGTGAAGTAAATCTGCACTTGCGTATTACAGATCGGGTAGGTAGCAATAGTAACAACTAACTAATGCATTGAAGAGAGGAAGTGAGGTACGTTTCGCACATGGGCAGTACAAATCGGGTTTCGGGGACGAAACGGGTAGCAACACCACAAACTCTGAAACAATAACACTGTTCCCTCTGTTTCACGACACATCTACGCCCCACTCTCACAATAGTTATACTATGCATGGATATAAAAACAGTCAATTAACTGACCTCAGAGTCTCCAGTCTGCAGTTTGGACTCCCCAGGAAACCACACAGATGCTTCACTCCTGAATCCTGCAGCTCGTTTTTGCTCAGGTCCAGCTCCCTCAGATAGGAGGGGTTGGACTTCAGAGCAGAGGCCAGAGAGGAACAGCTCTCCTCTGACAGACTGCAGTAATTCAATCTGAAAAATTCACAGTTCAAAATTAAAATTTATTTCTTTATTTAGTCAGATGTGTTCGTGTGTAATATACATTGCTTAACATTACAATGTCCTGGGGCCTCATTTATAAAACCTGGCGTAGGATCCATACTAAAAGTGTACGTAAGTTGAAAAGCTGAAAAGTGCGTAGGCAAAAAAAAAATCTGATTTATAAAACCCTGCCTACGCACACCTGCACGCACTTTCCCTTTATAAATCCAGCTGGAAAGTTGCTCAGCAGGGATTTGATTCTTCCCCGCCCTCTCCACACCCAAAATTCACCATGTATGGTCATGCAAATTACCTCATGAATGTGATTTGCATGTAGATAAGCCTGGTGGATCCACGGCATTTCACGCTTAACCATGGCATCAGCAAGTCGTAGAAAAAGAAACTTTTCAGAGATCGAGGTGGAGGTTCTTGTAAATGAGGTGGCGGCGAGACGGGAGACCTTATTCGGCGGCCATTCGAGTGGCATCACCAATAAAAACGCCGTTGCCGTGGTGGCAATTGCGGCTGGCACTGAGCGCAGCGTTGCTGAAACAGTGTTGTTTTCGTCATATTTCGTCAAATATTTTCGTCAACACCAGCGTCAAAAGGAAATATTTTCATCAACGAGAACAACACTGGTTGTTTTTGTTGAAGGAAATATTTCCCTTTTCTTCCACGACGAAGACGTAACGTTGACGAGCTAAACATAAGTCGGAGATGACTAAAATGTGACGAGACGAAAGTGCGTTTACGTTGATGGGACGAGACGAAAATGACGAACAGAGTCTCAAAACTCAGTCAGTTAAACGCTAACCATATAGGAGCAGCTTCAGTCCGCTCTGACAGCTGTCATCAGCCTGCTGTGCTCCTCCAACACACAGATACACACGCACGCGCGCGCAAACACGTGGAGATTTGTTTTCATTGACGATGACGTAGACGAAAACAAAACTGTGCCGAAATCAAGAAGAAGTGGTCTGATCTAAAGGTGGAGGCAAAGAAAAAAGTGGCTTTGCACCATCAGAGCGTGGCGGCGACAGGTGAGGATCAGAAAAAACATGCACGTGTGACACTCGTGCATGTGTTCAAAAAAAAAAAACGCTCCGTTATCCACCGCTGCTTATGTGGTGAAAGTTCGTAAACCAAAAAGATTTAGTCATATTAATCTTAAAACAAATGCATGTAAATGGAATTTGTTTTTTTACACATTTGTAAATTCAAATTGGCAAACTTCCTACACCGCCACAGTGGGGTCTGTGCTTTCTGCGAGCATCACTGCCTGGTACAGCAGCTGCAGCTCTCAGGACAGAAAGGCTGCATCGAGTCATCCGTTGTGCTGAACGCATCACCCGGACTATTCTCACCTTGCTCCGATTGTCTCCAAAAAGTGCGTAAGCAAGGTGTGGAGTTTGCTTAAAGTTGCGCACATTCCTACACTAGTTTTTCTTTTATAAATCCCAACTCTTGCGTAAGAAGTGGCGTACGCAATTTCTAGCCAGGTTTTGTGCATAAGCAAGCTTTATAAATGAGGCCCCTAATCAGTTCTCTTTTACTTAAAATAAAATCACGGATTTTTTTTCATTCTGTTTCTGAGGATCATCATTATGTCACTCTTTGTAAGCAGTGATCCTTTTTCACTGTCCAAACTGAGAGTGAAGTAGTCTCTTCCATACACAACAACACTGTAAAAAACAAATTCACAAGTTTATCTGAAACCAAGAAGATACTGCAGCAGTCCGAGTTATTCACGTCAAGTGGATATTAGCTCTGAATTCATCTACTCTGAGGGACTGAACTCAGTGTAGATCTGGGGCAGTCCAAAAATCCCCTCAGTCAGACTCAGTATCTATTTACCCTCCCTCATCCTAACAATACTTCACAATTCCACAAATGACATTGTTTTTTCAGTTATTTATTCAGATAAACTCCCCAAGTCTTGATTTGAAACTTTAGCAAGATGTAAAAAAACAGATCCAAAACAATGAAAAACCTTCAGTCACTGGGCTGACCTCAGAGTTTTCAGTTTGCAGAGTGGGCTCTCCAGTCCTGGGCACAGCTGCTTCACTCCTGAATCCTGCAGGTCATTGAAGCTCATATCCAGCTCTCTCAGATCTTCCAAATTGAAGAGCTTGAACTTCAGAGCATTGGCCAAAAGTCCACAGTGAATTTCTGTGAGCCCCCGCCTGGAAAGTCTGCCATAAAATTAAACAAAAGTGGACACTTAATATTTCCTGATGTACTTTGGGAAAGTTGAACAGATGTCACCAGAAAGATCACAAAGTCTGAAACTGTTCAAAGACACGATACGTCTGATAATAACTTTAATTTTGGAGTGAACGAGTGGAACACTATCTCAAGGATGACACAGATTATCTAGTGTCTACATTCATTATTGGACTATCATACTACACTCAAATCTCGTACACAGTATTTGTCAACAAACAACCTCTTTGAGCCATTACAATCTGCCTCAAGATCCAACTATTCGACTGGAACAGCTATCATCTGCTTCATCTGCTTTTGACGCGATGGATCATCACATATTGTTGGACAAGCTTGAGAACTTTTTCGGGATCTCCGGTCAGATCCTTTTGTGGTTGAAATCATACCTGCGTGTTGTTCAACAACTCTTTCTCTAAGGTGTGGAGTTCCACAGGGTTCCATTCTGGGTCCTCTGCTTTTCTCTTTGCATGGCACCACTGGGTCAGATTCTTCTTTCTTTTGAAATTTACTGTTATGCAGACGATCTGCAGTTATATATGCCATTGACCACAGAAGACAGAACCAACAAACAGAATCTTATGAACTGTCTGGCTGTCAGCAAATTTCCTGCTACTTAATCAGCCAAGACAGAAATATTACTTATTCGACAAAGTGCCTTTACTCGGTCTCTGGATGACTGTGTTATTTATTGAAGGGTTAGAGTTAAGAATTTTGGTGTGGTTTATGATGACACACCACTTTTTTAAATCTTCACATCAAAGAGATTCCCAAAGTTCCTGTCTTTCATTTAAGAAGTATTGCTGGGATCAGACTTGTCTTATCGTTTAAGGACACTGAGGGTCTGATCCATGCATTTGTAACATCACAACTGCATTATCGTAATGCTTTCGATTCAAGCATATTACGCCGGCGCTGGCCTCTTTATGCGGCTTCCAGTACAGGTATGAGCAGACTAAGGTGTTACTAATCACCTATAAAATTGTCAATGGTACAGCACCCTCGTATCTGACAGACTTGGTGAAACTATAGATGCCTGCATGCTCACTGCGCTTCCAGGATTCTGGCCCTCTGTGCGTCAAGATCCCCAAAAAGACTGTTGGTGAGCGGGCTTTTGCCCTCCCATGATGCCCCAACATCACGGAAGGGTGTACCTCTCGACATCAGGCAGGCTTGTTCAGTGGACATTTTTAAAGCTCAGCTAAAGACCTACTTGTTTTTCCTGACATACATATTGTGAGCTAAGTTGAGTTTGTGTGTTTTAAATTGGTTTTAATTCTGTTTTTATTTCATAATTGTAATCTGCTTTTTTAAACTTGTTTCTTGTTTTAATGTGCTTTTATTCTCATAGTTTTCTTTATCGTACAGCACTTTGATGGAACACACTTTATAAATAAATATATTATCATTAATATTACTACAATGAATCATAATGCTAATTTCAGATGGACTCACTCAGCCTTCCCACAGTTCTTCACGTCTTGTAGAATTTCCTCCAGTGGCCGCTGTGTTGGGATGGATGTCTTCAGATTTAACTCATCCAGAACTTCCTGTGGCATCTCCCCGAGTAAGGCCAGAGCAGAGCTGAAGATCGTAGAGTGTGACCCATCTGACCTGTTCTCTGACTTAATGAACTCTTGGATCTCCTGGTATAATGAGCGTCCTTTCATCTCTGACAGACAATGTAAGAAGTTGATGCTTCTGGCAGGGGAGACTCTGACTGTCATCTCCTTCAGGTTGTACATGACTCTTTGGAACATTTCTGGACTGTTGTGTGTGTGACCCAGCAGACCTCCTAAGAGTCTCTGGTTTGACTCCAAAGAGAGTCCATAAAGGAAGCGAACAAACAGGTCCAGGTGACCGTTTGGACTTCTTAGGGATCTTAGCATTGCTTCTTTCAGGAGCTCTTCGAGAGTCAAAACTTTGTGTTTTATCTCCAGAAAATCCTCCAGTACTGTTGTTTTACCTGCTGTGTAACAGTGGAACATGTAGACTGCAGCCAGAAACTCCTGAACGCTCAGATGAACAAAGCAGTAGACGGTTTTCTGGAAGATCACACTCTCTCTTCTGAAGATCTCTGTACAAACTCCTGAGTACACCGAGGCCTCTGAGACATCCAGACCACACCGCTCCAGGTCTTCTTGGTAGAACATGATGTTTCCTTTCTCCAGATGTTCAAAGGCCAGCCTCCCCAGCTTCAGGAGGACTTCACTGTCAGCCTCCATCAGCTCCTGAGGACTTGTTTCATGTCCTCCTCCATACTTCTGCTTCTTCCTCTGAGTCTGGACCAGCAGGAAGTGTGAGTACATGTCCGTCAGGGTCTTGGGCAGCTCTCCTCTCTGCTCTCTGCTCATCATGTCCTCCAGAACTGTCGCAGTGATCCAGCAGAAGACCGGGATCTGACACATGATGTGGAGGCTCCTGGAGGACTTGATGTGTGAGATGATTCTTCTGGACAGATCTTCATCTCTGAACCTCTTCCTGAAGTACTCCTCCTTCTGGTCGTCAGTGAAGCCTCGTACTTCTGTTACCCTGTCCACACATGAAGGAGGGATCTGATTGGCTGCTGCGGGTCGAGAAGTTATCCAGATGAGAGCTGAGGGGAGCAGGTTCCCCTTGATGAGGTTTGTTAACAGAACGTTCAGTGAAGACTTCTGTGTGACGTCAGACAGGACCTCAGAGTCTGTGAAATCCAGAGACAGTCTGCTTTCATCCAGACCGTCAAAGATGAACAGAAGTTTACAGACAGCCAGCGTCTCTGCTGTGACCTTCTCTAGTGTTGGATGGAAAACATGGAGCAGACTCAGAAGACTGAAGCGCTCATCTCTGATCAGGTTCAGCTCCCTGAATGAAAGCAGGACCACCAGATTCAGGTCTTGGTTCTCCAAACCCTCTGCCCAGTCCAGAGTGAACTTCTGCACTGAGAAGGTTTTTCCAACACCAGCCACGCCGTTGGTCAGAACCACTCTGATGAGCTTCTTCTGTTGGTCAGGTAAGGTTTTAAAGATCTCATGACACCTGATGGGCGTGTCATGGAGGGTCTTCATCTTTGAAGTGGTCTCCAGCTGTCTCACCTCATGTTTGGTGTTCACCTCTTCACTCAGTCCCTCTGTGATGTAGAGCTCAGTGAAGATCCTGTTGAGGAGGGTTTGACTACTTCCTGCTTCAGTCCCTCTAGGCACAATTTCACATCTCTTCTTTAGACTGATCTTGTGTTCCTCTAAAACCTCCTGCAGACCACCTCGCTCTAAAAATAGAGAAAATTGTAACACTATTACTATTTCATCCAACAGAACCTTCAGTACAACACAAGCAAAGATCTAAATGGACTAAATACTGTATAGATAATATATAGTACTTTCTCTTGTCCTTCGACAAAGCCTGTCTGCCTCAGAAGCCAAATTCACACACTGGGTGCTGCTGGGTGCTCTCTGTGGGTTTTTGTTCCAGGTATGCTGTGATTTCTGCTTTTCAAAAGGAGTTTCAATACTTTGACTAATTTCAACATAATTCACAGATAACACTTGGAGAGGGACTGGGTTGGCTGCCCCTGAGATTGGGATCCCCTTGGTGGGATCCCAATCCATCGTCATGCAGACGTGGTTTGATGTTGAAGCGCTGGTCGTTCACGAGGAAGGGTGATGTGCTGTGTGAGTGCGTTAGGGGGTGTGCCAAATACTCGAGCAGGCATGATTCAGGAAATAGTGATCTGGAGAAGCAAGCCTAAATAAACAAAAACAAGCCCAAAACACTGCAACCCACGACTCATGAGTTTAATAAGCGACTTCTGAGAAAAACAAGCCCAAAGTTGCTTGTAATAAGCAGACTTGGCAACTATGATTGAGAGCCAAATCGGTCACCCTTTGCGCCGTGTGTTGATGTCATGAAACTTAAAATCCGCACTACTAGGCCCAATCCCAAAACCGACCCCTACACAGACACAGCCATTGACACAGCCCTACTGTCAAAAACAGCTTCACTGACCTCTTATCGGTTCAAGGATCGACAGGGAGTGCACAGAGGAAATGCTCAGAGTGTACTGAAGCAAAATCACTAACTGCTTTTTAATGTTTATGTCATAATCATCTGAAGCATCAACTTCCTCTCAGCATCACTGCACTTCCTTCAGTCCATAAAACGTTCTTACACCCCCTGATCTAGTTTTGATCCATAGGTTGCCAGTGAACATCATACCTCTACTTCCACACTGGGGACAGGAGGAGGAGCTGGGAGAGACAGGATCCTTCAGGACGTCCTCGCACAAAGCACAGCGGGACGGCTGCTCCTCCACAGGAACAGGACTCTCTCTGTGGAGACATTTGGTTTTATTCTGACTTGTTGACTGATAATAAGATTTAAGAAACAAACTAGAAGACGAGATGGTCACAGGTGAGATGTCAAAGTCTGATTTATTTCACGTGGATTCAGCCTCCGATCTGTAAGGTCTTTTTTATTACTTACAAAGGAGGTAGAATTACAGTGCAGGTCACTTATGAAAGCCAAGCAGTCAAATCACCACTTGTAATAGTTAAGGGTATGGATCGACACTGTGTGGCAGAAACTGGTTTCAGAAACTCAGGCTGAACTGGCAACAGATCAAGAGTCAACGCACCCAAATGTACATCACTGGATGAGGTGCTGGAGAAACACTCAGAGGTTTTTAAGGTTGAGTTAGGGACCCTCAAAGACATTACAGCCTCAGTCTTCGTTAAACCAGATGCACTGCCAAGATTTTGTAAACACATTTGTAAACTCCTAGACTACTATAGGGGTGGTTTGCATGTGTGTGCTCTGGTCTCTCTGACTCTCTCAATATAACAGGAAGGGAAACCAAACAGGAAACAGCAAGGTGCAGTGCAGTTCACATGCCACAGTTCACTAACCACACCAGTCACACTTACGGTAAAAGCCTTCAGTTCAAAAACAGAGCAGATTTGTCCATTTTGTGGGGACTGATATATAAAAAAAGCAAACCTTAAAATACGTAGTTTTTTTTCTTTTTAAATGATCACTTAGCCATGTCTTAAAAAAAGATTAAGGGTCTTACTTTGTGTCCAAGGGTCCAGGTTCATTTTTAAATTCCAAAGGACAGTATTTGGAGTTGGTACTTCGCACTGACAGACAGCTAGGTTCGGGAGACTTCACTTCGACCTCTTCTTCCATGTTCTGGTCTGAGAGGTTCCAACACTAGAATCAACAGGAATCAGTTTGATCAAGAGGCACATTCATGCACCACAATAGTTGAATGATCTTCATTATGTCTTCAGTTTCTTAGAAATAATTTTATATTTTCTTTTATCTCAGAATTATCTTTTTTTATCTGGGAAACTTCTGCATAAACAAGGTACGTGAAGAAGATTACATGTCTGAGATAAAAGAAAACAAAAATATTTGATGCACCACATTACAACCTCTCAACGATCAAACTGTTTAGTTAATCTTAACTTTCTTTCCATTACAGTTTAAGCAGAAAAAAAAATAATCAGGAACTTTATGTGAAATAATAGAAATGTTAGACCAACACTCACCACTTCTTGCTCTGCTGTCGACTCAAACTCAAGTATACACTTTCACTTTTAAAGTTCGAGTCCGTTATTGTAAAACTCCTCCCTTTAGAGGCGCTTTACCACATCATACTGTGTGTGTGTGTGTGTATTTGTTGAGTCCAAAGTATAGGTGATTTAATGAGTAACCCTGACCCTGTTCAGTATGCTGCAGTCAGACTGATTCAGTGAGAAGCAGAAAATTAATCAAAGTCACTGCAGTAAATACCAACATTAAAACTGCAGTTAGGGATACAGAGCAATGGAGAAAAACTGGTGTTAACATCAGTTAATGTGTTAATATAAAGATGAGTGCCCTCTGTTAGATGAGTTTCTCTGAGTCTGTGTTCGCACACACATTTAAACATTAAAAATTAAATGACAGAAGCTCCACAGAAAACATGGCTGGTTAATGGTTTGAGGATCCAGCATCATTCCACAAGGTTTCTGTTCTGCAGATTCAGACGGACACAGACACAGGGGGTCTGCAGGCCGGGTTCAACCAGCTCAAATGTCCCATGTGGTTTACATAACGCACCAATCACTGTCCATGGTGAGGCGTTTTCGAAAAGTTGTTTACAGTCTTCAAACTCCTGAACTCCACATCAGATCTGTGCAGCTGCGGACTCTGACGTGTGGGGTGGGTGAGGGGCGTGACAGTGGGCAGAGACTTCTCAACAATCTTTCAGATAAGCCACGCCCACAGCTCAAAAGTGAAAGTATGAGGTTGTTTCCTGTGAAAGTTAATCTGCTCCTGTATTTCTAACTGCGTCAGTTTTACTCACACCAGGATAAACCAGAACTGTTCAATAAACCAGATCACACAGCTCAGCACAGGACTTTATTCAGGCCACTACAGCTCAGCACAAACAATCACTGCTGGTTTGATCCCCACTGAAAACACACGGCTCGTTTTCTGAAGCCCAACGTGGGAACACAAAATGGCACCAGAGAGGAAGTGCAACACAAGAGAAACCAACGAAGAAGAACATTCAAACTGACTTGAAGAAAGAACTGACAGCACTAAATGGTCTTCAGTAAAAGTAGGCGGCTGAAGGACGAACTGAGGTGACCTGTGGAGATCTGAGGTCCACACCCTCCACATTAGTACTCATGTTAGGACACTTTATAAAAATATCAGGTTTCTTATACTTTCACACACGGACAGATTCAGACTTTTACGGTTCTAAGACCCGTCTGATCCCTAACAGCCCCCTTTAAAGACCCGAGCCACGCTCCTTAGACTGAATCCAAGGTGAGGTTCAGGTTCAAACTGTCCTCCAGTCTGATGACTTCTGTCCAGACATGTCAGCAGTGTGAAGTTTCAGAGCTGCTGCGTCGCTCTCTCACTCTTCTTCTACCTTGTAAAGTTGGTTTTCTTGCTCACTCCTGGTTCAGTTGTCGTGTTCAGCCAAGAGTTTAGAGTCGTACAGATCCAAACTGAAGCAGAGGAGAGCGGTCCCCTCGCACCTTTCCGTGTCCGTGCTGCTGCAGCTCTGAGTTTGCAGAGGTTAGTGGTTCCATCACCGTAAGGTCTGTAGATCAGTTCAGACTGAGACGATCAGCATGCATGGTTCAGTTTCCTGTGGGCGGGGCTAAATAAAATCTTAACATTTCCTCTCCCATTGGTAGATTAAATTTGACTGGTCAGAGGGAATTCAGGTCTTCTCGTTGGCGTGTATGACCCTGAAGGAACGTTAAAAACGATTAAAACTGAACGTCATCTTCTGCAGTCAGTTTGACTCCACTACGATATTCACGATCTGCAGGTGCGAACCTTTAAAGTAACACTCTAAGTTAGTTTCACCTGAACAAACACCAGGAGGAGCAGGACCGTCTGACGTCTCTGAGCGTCTTCTGGGTTTCTGTGGCGGCTGTGGCGTGACGGCGGCTCGTGTGCGTGTTTACATTCTACCTTCACAGATTCAGACTCCGCCTGCAGTTTCTCTATCAGCTCAAAGTGATTTCAGATGATGGAGGTTAAATGTAGATGAAGTCTGGACAAAGAGGACGTGTGAGAACATGACAGAGTGACTGCTGGGAAGTTCTAAAGTATCTTCAGACCTGGTGATGGTCCACATGTTAGAGATGCTGCCTCAGACCGGACTTCTGATCCGCTCAGAAACAGTCAAAGAGGAGGAGCTGAGGTGGGATTTTAGTTTCTGTGCCCCTCCTGTCCGTCAACTCAAACGTCTCTATCAGGACTCATTAAAACCGGATTCTGGGCCGTTGTGGACCTGTTTTAAACCTGTCAGCAGCAGCAGCAGCTCATGAAAAGGAGCTGTCTCTGTGGGTCCAGTCTAGTTCCTGGAGCTGTCTCTGTGGGTCCAGTCTAGTTCCTGGATCGTTTCTCCTTCTTCTTCTCATTCTTGTCTTTTTTTTTAGAGTTTATTTCTTCATTTTTGTCGTGAATGTACCAGAACTTTCCAACCAGGAGGTGACGGATCCTCTCAAACATCAGGATGACGAGGACTTCAGACGTCTATGTGGAGAAACCACCTTTCCTTCACCTCCTCTCTCTCTCTCTCTCTCTCTCTCCTCCGTCTGTCCTCGATCGCCCTACTGTTCCCTGCCATGTCATTGGCTGTCGCTCTCTCCCAGTAGCCAATAGGTGGTCATCTTCCCTTTGCCCTTAATGTCGATCTCTCCTCGCAGCTCCAGCTGGAAACAGTTGAACTCCATCAGGACGTCTCGAGTCGCCGCGGAAACGTGGATCTTCAGGGCTGAACGAACAAAACAGACGAAAAACGCAGATCAGCTCAACTAGAACTGAGACCACCTAAGACTAGAACTGAGTCTACCTAAAACTAGAACTGAGTCTACCTAAAACTAGAACTGAGACCACCTAAAACTAGAACTGAGACCACCTAAAACTAGAACTGAGACCACCTAAGACTAGAACTGAGACCACCTAAGACTAGAACTGAGTCTACCTAAAACTAGAACTGAGACCACCTAAAACTAGAACTGAGACCACCTAAAACTAGAACTGAGACCACCTAAAACTAGAACTGAGACCACCTAAGACTAGAACTGAGTCTACCTAAAACTAGAACTGAGACCACCTAGGACTAGAACTGAGTTTGTTCTGCGTGTTTGTGAGCGTAGAGACGAGATTTAACCCGACGTTCTCCAAAACGAGTTTTCAGAGTTTAAATAAAAAAGTTTGTCTGACGTTTGAAGTTCTGACCTTCTCCTGTGGACTCCATACGAGACGAGGTGTTGACGGTGTCCCCGAACAAACAGTAACGAGGCATCTTCAGACCCACCACACCTGCACACACCGGACCTGCAGGTACAACACACACACACACACACACACACACACAGGTTAACACACACAGGTACTACACACACACAGACACACACAGGTTAACACACACACACACAGGTAAAACACTCACAGGTACTACACACGAACACACACACACAGGTTCAACACACTCACAGACTCACACTGGGGTCAGTGAGGAGGACCTCTATCAGCAGCTTGAATCACACTGACTGAACTGTCCAATCAGAAGAGTCGATGTCACACTGTCATATTTAAGTCACTTTAGTTTCAGTTCATCAGGATCAATAAAGTTCATCTAATATCTATCTATCTATGATCGAACGTTTGCAAGCGGGCAGATCTGATTATAAAGAGGACATTAAATCTGATTAAATAACTACACCTCTATATCTCTACCCCCCCTCTCTCACCGCTGTGTATTCCTATCCTCAGCTTCAGCTGACCTCAGTAACACACACAGGATCCTCAGTCGGATACACACCGGACCTCAGCACACACACAGACCTCAGATCTCTCTGCCTCAGTGGAGCACAGACCTCAGTAACACACGGCAGACCCGGACACACACCATGTAACACACCGATGGTCTCCACCTGGGGGCGCCAGAAGACCAGAATCTACATGACTGAGTCTAAGCCGAGTTTGTGAGTTTTTCTCACAAGTGAGTTTTTAACACACAGACCTCAGTAACACACACAGACCTCAGTAACACACACAGACCTCAGTAACACACAGACCTCAGTAACACACACAGACCTCAGTAACACACACAGACCTCAGTAACACACACAGACCTCAGTAACACACACACAGACCTCAGTAACACACACAGACCTCAGTAACACACAGACCTCAGTAACACACACAGACCTCAGTAACACACACAGACCTCAGTAACACACACAGACCTCAGTAACACACACAGACCTCAGTAACACACACAGACCTCAGTAACACACACAGACCTCATTAACACACACAGACCTCATTAACACACACAGACCTCAGTAACACACACAGTAACACACACAGACCTCAGTAACACACACAGACCTCAGTAACACACAGACCTCAGTAACACACACACAGACCTCAGTAACACACACAGACCTCAGTAACACACACAGACCTCAGTAACACACACAGACCTCAGTAACACACACACAGACCTCAGTAACACACACAGACCTCAGTAACACACAGACCTCAGTAACACACACAGACCTCAGTAACACACACAGACCTCAGTAACACACACAGACCTCAGTAACACACACAGACCTCAGTAACACACACAGACCTCAGTAACACACACAGACCTCATTAACACACACAGACCTCATTAACACACACAGACCTCAGTAACACACACAGTAACACACACAGACCTCAGTAACACACACAGACCTCATTAACACACACAGACCTCATTAACACACACAGACCTCATTAACACACACAGACCTCAGTAACACACACAGACCTCATTAACACACACAGACCTCATTAACACACACAGACCTCAGTAACACACACAGACCTCATTAACACACACATACCTCATTAACACACACAGACCTCAGTAACACACACACAGACCTCAGTAACACACACAGACCTCAGTAACACACACACAGACCTCAGTAACACACACAGACCTCAGTAACACACACAGACCTCAGTAACACACACACAGACCTCAGTAACACACACAGACCTCATTAACACACACAGACCTCA